TGACCATTTTAAAATTCTTAGCATGACTGCCAGTCGAGAGACTGGCTTCTCTGCTCGTATTTTAATAATTAAATTCGTTGGATAGATTCCAATCGGCCGCATCCGAAAACCCTCCATCGAAACTCTCGAAAACCTGTCATCATCAGAAGCACCTATAAGACCTCAGGGTCTAAAATTTGATCTGGAAAACGTAAAATAGAAAATGATGACTACATCCCGGAAAATTTAGAAAGAAGAATAAGATATTGCAATAATATTATAGACAAGAAACTAGTCAAGCTATTTGATTAAATGATTTAATTTAAATCTGACGCCAAGACCTTGGAAATATTCCTCCACGGAGCGCCTCAAATCTGAAGTGATTTTAGAAATATTTCCGTTCCCAGACCGTAAATTTTATGATTTTTGGAAATGAAAACTGCATCCGTAGGCAAAACAGAAGCGGATCAAACTAATAATGTAAAAAGTAAGGTTGCCGCGGGTACCGGGTCGGGTACCCGGCTACCCTGCTACCCGGCCATTTTACGCAAAAAAACCGGGTACCACGCTGAACCGGGTGTTGCCAATTACCCGGCCGGGTAATTTCAATTTTATTTTTTACGTTTTTTACTCATATTTTTATATTTTCATACCATTTCTTCACTTAAATAATTAATTTGTCGAAGCCTCCTTAAAATATTTGTATTACTATCAGAAAGGATAAGACAAAATTCTCGTCGATACAATTTTTCACAATTTTTGATATGTTATAGATCTTTAATAGTAGAACCAAAGGCTCCCTTAAAGCTGAAATAGACCTGCGCAAGCTTTTTTCGGGGTCGAAATGTCAGGAGATAAAAAGTCAGCGTATCCTATAAGTGGGAAACGCTGTGGACTTTACTCCTAAGAACTGGAATACATATAACAACAATTGTGGAAGATCGTACAGACAATAATTTTGTCATGTTGACTGTTTCCTTTATAAGTTTTGTAAAAAAAATCATTTCAAATTCGCAGTAAACTTAAATTGTTGCATTAATTTCAGCTACATTACTTAATTAGAACAATGTCGCAGTAATTTCTTGCTAAAACTATACTAGCGCTCGCATGATCTAGGGGAAAGCCGGGGCGGGTAATTGGTACATATTGGCTGGGTAGTACCCGGCCGGGTAGTGCAACTACCCGCGGCAACCTTAGTAAAAAGTAACATCGAGCTTTTGAGGATGAAGGTTTTACCCAAGAAATAGGACGTTAATCGGGAAAAGTGGAAATGAAAGTGGCTAACCCTCAGTATATTGTGAAATCAAGAAGTAGTTTTTCGACTTTTTTTTCGAGAAGTATGTCCCCACGGTCAAAATCATCTTCCGCGGCCACTGTATTCACTAGTAACAATGTAAATGCCTTTGCATCAAAATTTCCATACAGAAAAAATAATTTACGAGGCAAATTTTGCAAGTAAAAGCATTTATCTGTATATATATTGTTCAAAGTGAACAAGTATTGAAATTATTTGAATATTAAATTAAAAAATCTCAATTATAATTAGTAATTTGTCTTAAACTTCAATTGCATAATTTTAATTTGTAGTATTTACTTATTTTCATGCATAAGGCTCAATGTGTTATACACCCTAGTAATTAATTCTGATGTAATAAAAAAAATTCACGACTGCGAAATAATGTTTATTTTAATTCAGAAAATGAAAGGCAGTGAAATTTTCGCATGTGAAATACTGTCAATTTAACAAAAACAGGGATTTTTGGTTGGTTTTAATCACGATAGATGGTGATTTAGTAATTGTAATAGAAGAAGTAATTGAATTACAATTACACCATGTTGAAATGTGCAATTACAAATTACCAATTACATTTAGTTCAATTACAAATTACAATTACAATTACATTTCTCGAATGAAGTAATTGAAATTACAAATTACAATTACTAATTTGTAATTGTAATTGTCAATTACTAATTTGGCCAGGTATGGACATTGCACCTTAGCATTCAGCATCACAATCAATCACAGGAAATTTGACAAAATGTACAAAAGTTTCAACATCCAGAGCGAGAAGGCAGGGAGGATGCAAATCGGCGAAAAGTTCTGGTATAAAACACAAATACTATGCCTTCGACCTTTGAAGAATTTACAAACTGTTGTATTAAAATACCTGATACATTTGTTTGCAACCCTAGGTAAATACTCTTATACACATGAAGAACTTTATGAACATAATAAAATTATGCATATGTATATGTATATGAGGTTCATATCTATTGTCTGGTTGTGGCTACCTGAAATATTTTCTCACAACCTTTTTCATTCAGCGGGGGGCAGCGTGGCTACATATGTACGTGCCATACCATGCCATGCCGTGGTGGTCTAAAATTAACCGTGCCCTCAACTCTCCTCAATCCTAGCAAACCGTTCAGTCCACGATAGCATGTCCAGATAGCATGTCTATTTAGACTCTTGGTCCCTGTGAAATTTATTCACGTGTCAAAAATTTGTACCAAAGTGTGTCAATTGTGGCAAAATTTCATCCTACATGAAATTCTATCATCTGGAAATGTAAGTGTATAATTCGATTCACAAAATTTTGCTATTATTTATGTATAGGAATTACATATTAACACAGATATGTATTTACGTCGCAATATATTGAGGGTAATTCATTACGAGTTCGCATGTTCGCATAGGAACATAGTTTTTTCGAAATTGCGAATTTTGCGAAGCAACAAAGTGAATTTTAAAATGGGAAAAATACTTTAATTTCCATTACTTACCGAAATTTGGCATCTGAAATTAACAAAATAGGAAAATTCGAAAATTAAAAAGCCTAAATTTGAGTAACAATTTGTGGAACATATTTTGCTACCCAAATACTAGTCCTGGAGATGCGCAAATTTTCAAGCCAATTTTTTTTGCGAACTTGCGAACTTTATTTTCTTGCCAACGTTGCTAACGGTGCGAACTCGTAATGAATACCCTCATTGTATCAGGGATAGTGAACTACTTAATTATCAAGTCAAAATAGTTGGCTTTGATCTCGTGACATTTAGTTAATTTTTTCCCCTGACTTTTTGAACTTATACATAGATTCGCTACAAAATTTAAAACAACCCGACGCCCCCGAGGAAGCCATGCCAAGGTCTAACATCCGCCCCAACTGCGATATTTGTGAACGCAAATTTTCTTCGGTATATGCGCTGCAGATGCACAATAAAGCTTTCCACTCCGCGACGCCACGGCCCCGCCTGCCCTGCACTTTTGCGAGGTGTGACAAGTCCTACTTGTACAAGCCACACCTCAACTATCACGTGAAACTAGACCATAGCACGAATCCCGTCCAATTTCCGTGCCAGGTTTGCGGGAAAAATTTAAAAACCCAGAACAACTTGAACCTTCATATGCAAACTCATCAAGAAAATGCTGCAGTAAAATGCGATGTAAGTAGGGTTGCCCCGGGTACCGGGTAACTACCCGGTACCCGGCATACCCGGACTGTTTTGGGATACCCGGTACCCGGCCGGGTATACTTAAGTACCCGGTCTACCCGGCCGGGTAACTTAAATATTAAATTTTCTTACTTAAGATGCAAAAGCTTACAAAAAAATATAATCCGACGGATTTCATTTTCGTACTTTGTATAAAATAATATATTTGGAAAGAATGGATACAACCTTGGCCAACACTTATTTGGAAATTATCATAAAAATTTTCAAACAACTTTGACCGCACTCACGTAACGAATTATCAATCAGTTAATTTGCATATCTCGCACATTAAGAATAACTTACTAATTCTTAGAAATTTGTAAGCTTTCTCAAAGCTTAGCCATTGTTTTTTTCGTACGATAATTTCGCAGACTCATCCTCGCAATGATCAGCGAGAAAAATTGCGAACATCCATGACAAAAAGGTCGAAATAGACATCGTTAGTTGATTTACAAGACTTTCGAAGTGTTATCTGCTAATCTATTCGTAGGATATCACCTCGAAAGTCTCGCAAAATTTGTTTCCTGCGGCTCTTCGAATCCCCTCAAAAAATAACTTTTTTCAGCCTCACAGGTTTGCTAAATAATTGGGATGATAAATAAGGCATTGTCGTGAGTACGCTCATTTTGTGTCCCACATGATTCTTTCATTTATGTAATATCAACTTTCTAGCCCGAATAATTAGCCTGAGAAGTTGAAATTTTTACCATGTGCATATTGGACAAGGATATAGGAAACAAGTTCGAAGATAGGCTACATAGGTCACCTAGTGGACCTGTGTGGTCGTATTGGTGATTTGGGGGAGCAAAGTGTAACCATAGAGAAAGCTATCCATACAGATTTTGACAAAATATTACTTTCATCTGAAATTTGGTATGGAAGTTAAAAATGAATTCTGCAGTGTAGAAATTTAACTTGTAATTTTTAAAACATATAAAATTGTTGCAAATTCCAGAAAAAGTTAAAAATTCGCGTTATTTGTAATATCTAAATATTATCCGGTACCCGGCCGGGTAGCCGGGTACCCGGCAAAAATTTTAGGCCGAGCACCGGGTAGCCGGGTACCGGGTAGTACCACTACCCGGGGCAACCCTAGATGTAAGTACATACATAATTTAACATGATATTCGTATTACTCATTGATTTAACCATATTACTTACGGTATAGTGCCTACAAGCATACCTGTTCAATTGTTTTCCTATATTCAAAATTAGTTCACTTTGAAACTCAATTTGAATTATTCATTCATTGTTAATTAATTCAATGAATAATTCATTCATTAATTCATTCGCCCCATGTATTTAGCATAGGGCAAAAATGAATGAATAAAAAACCAACTCAATTTGAGATGTTGAATTATTCATTCATTAAATGAATTATTCACGCATTCATTCTTCATTTCCTAATAATTAAATGAACGTGAACAGGTATGCTAGTCACAACCATGATGTAGTGAGGCTCTGCGATTTTTGCGTTGTGCCCACTTTGTATTTACGGCGTATGCTCACTTTATACACAGATTTGTAAGAAAACGTACAAAAACCCTGCCTGCCTCCGCGCCCACAAGGGAGCCATTCACGGAAATAGGATTCGCCCCGAGTGCGCTATTTGTCGACGAACGTTTGTTTCCCGAGCCGCTGCTCGGGCGCACCATAGAATTTATCATTCCACCACCCCACGGACCCGCCCGCCCTGCTTGTTTGCAGGGTGTGCCAAGACATTTCTGGACAAATCAGCTCTTAAGGGACACGTGAGGATGGAGCATGCCGAAAATCCGGTCCGATTTCGGTGCACCCTTTGCGCCAGGGAATTCAAACGAAGGGAATACCTTAATTTACATATTACCACCAACCACACGGGGGAAAAGGCTTACAAGTGTTCAACATGTGAAAAACGGTTCGTACAACGGAGCCATTTGCAAATTCATCGGGTGAGCTGGTACTTTTAATTTGGCTAAATTATGCTTCGCATTGGGCGATCACCAGAGCTGTTTAATTAGCTTGATTTCTAATTAATTAGTGATTGATAATTAGATATTTTGTCCAATTAATTGGTAATTAGTAATTAAACTCGGGTTGCTAATTAAACCAATTAATTAGCTAACTAATTATAACATTGACCAATTAATTGGTTATTTATAGTGATTACAGATCTTTTTACATGTATTTTTTCTGCACTTAGCTTATTTTCAAGTTGAACATAAAGATCACTTAGGATCCTTAGATCACTCTTTGTATAATTTAACAAATACAGCACATAGCTCATTTTAAAATGAAGCCGGCAATATGACAGTTTGCTTAATACATTTTATCTTTTTAGAGAGTCCACACGGATAAATCTGATCGTATAAAGTTCATCTGCCATCACTGCGACCGGGTTTTCTTGACAAAACCTAGCCTAACCGGGCACATCCGGGCAGCCCATGAAAACCTTAGGAATTATGGATGCCCTCATTGTGACAAGAAATTTTATCGCTCGGCCCATTTAAAGGGGCATGTGGAATCGAAACACACCATCAGTAAGGATCCTGCGACAAATGCGAGAATTCCACGTTCGGCATGTGAAATAGAGCCGTGTCGATGGAAAGAGTGTTACTTTTGTGGGAAAAGGTCTCTCCGTTATTTTAACTTGGCTCGACATGTGCGGAGACATACTTCGGAGGTTTAACGTGGATATACTACCATACCTGTTCAAAAATTTAGTTTTCATTCAAACGTCAGCCATCCCGATTTTTGACTGAAGATTTTCATTCATTTTCTTTCAAGCTCGTTTCATTTCACTTAATCTGACTTCAGTTCTTACTTCACTCCATTTATTAAGCATTGGGTATAAAATGAAATGAGTGAGAAATCTTTCATACATACATACACAGTCAGTCATCTGAAATGAAAGAATCTTCTAATTATTTTCACTCAAATGACAGGAAATTCATTTTCATTCACTATCACTGACCATCATAATCAGTCAAATGAATGAAAGTGAACAGGTATGGGATATACGGAACAAGTGGTGAATGCAAATAGATAGTCGAAACGAATTATGGAATAAAATATTTATGTCTTTCGGGGTGAAGCACATAATTTCGAAAAGTCCATCCCGTGAAATCTTCCGTGACATTCCTGCATTCTGATTGGCTGTTGACATTTCTGCTCCATCAATAAGGGAACAGATACGAATTATGATTACGATTATGATTATGGTTATGATTATGATTATGATAAAAAATTTTTAGCAATTTAAAAAAATTCCTTAGCGACATGAAAAAACGTCCTTAGCAACATAAAAAAATTCCCTAGCAATGTACAAAATTTCCTTCGCAACATAAAAATGTGCATAAGAATATAAAAAAAATCTTTAGCAACGTGAAGAAAATTCCTTAGCAACGTCGAAAAATGCCTTAGCAACGTTAAAAGAGTTCGTGTGGCCCGTCTTTAGGACGGGCTTATAGGCTAGTTTATGTATAAGATCGTTATCTCCGTAATCCTAAAAAATCCGTAAACAAATATTATTATAATTTTTTATACCTTAGGATAAGCCTAAAAGTTGATATTATAAATTGGGATATTTTGCAGCCCATTTTTTGGCAAAAAATGCATTCCTTTCAAAAAGAATTAGCTCTTTTTCCTAAATAAGTTTAACGTTCTGCTTTTTACAATACGATCCTGTCTTTCATTCTAAAATACTCCGCGATTAGATTTCTTCTTCCTATAGATTTAGAAGGGGATTGCCGGTTGCATCAATTATTCCAAACAAATCAATCAGATTTGAATTTCAAGTTGAAAATGTATATTAGCCAATTGTGTTAACATTTTTAGAAGAAAAGTTTAAATATCTCGGATCATTCAGAAAAGTTGGGATTATGAACTTATTGTTTATTTATAAATATGTAACCTTGGTCAAATAATGAACTAAATACTGTAACAAATTTTATATCAGCAAACCGTACTCATTCTGACTCGTAGGTATATTGCATTTTCATAGTAACGGATAACTACTAAAAGTGGATCCTGCACTCTCATCAAAATTGCCACCAAAATCGTCTCCTCGTGTAGGTACTATGCAACTCTACCGTAGGGTGATAATATACCTCCGCCTGTTGACAAATGTGTTTTGTCTCCCGAGCGGAGGTAAATATTATTGTCACCTACCGGGATACAATTTGTTACTCCCGATGACAGAATGTATACAACATGGAAGTAACTTGTGTCTCTGAATGGAAATAATTTACCTACATGTGGCGACAATATGAGAGATAAGTTACCTCCGTCTTGCGCATATATTTATCTCCTTGCGGTAATAGATTAGAACCCTTGGGAAGCAAACATAGTTTATAAAATATGTATTTATTTACTTAAATACGATTTGGTTAGAGATTAAATTTCTTCACATGTCTCTACATACTACGTACATACACTTAAAAATATAAAAATTAAATTGTGCATGCTTATATATATATATGTACATACTTATATTACTTATAATGTTAGTGAAAATTGATCCTCGTACTAGCTGGCTCGCTGCTGAAGATTTACGTTATCTGAAAATCAAATAAAATTAAAAATATTACCCTGCAGTACTCAAACTAAAAAAATCGCAGATTAACAGATAAACAAATAAAATAAATAAAAACGAAGTGAAGGCCCACCTGTCACCTGTTTATAATTTGGCATTTCGATCATCTCTTTGAATTTGACGCTGCTTATGAATTCAAATTAGACCAAATATAAATCTAATTACGGCCAACAGAAATGAAGCGTCAACTGTGTAAATTTTTAAATCACACTCAAAGACAAATTAAACTTATTACTACTACTTTAAACGGAGTTTTATCTTACCATAAAAACATCTTCCAGTTCCGTGGAGCACGTAACGTTAGAGATGGAATGTTATTCCAATAAAATTGGAAAAATATCTTCATCTCAATCTGCGCCAAATTCATCTTTGAACGAAATTTGCGCATCCGGATCTAGAAAAAACTTGTTTTAGTGTAAATATTAATAGGACAAAAACAATAAAATTACAGCATAAGCATAATATGAACAATGAATTAAAATTATTTACCTGAAATGTAGAGTAATCCATAACTTGAACCTCTAATTACTACTTTTTTCCTCTGGTAAGATACAAAACTCGAACAATTGTCGTTATTCTGCCAGGTGCGAGAGAGAAACGTTTGTGAGAGAAAACTTAACTGCCACTAAACTTTAGTGACTAAAGTTTGCGCTGGGCTTTAAGGAGACAAATTGTCACCTATAGGAAATGATTTTGGAGACGAAATTATCTCCTCTAAGGAAATAAATTATTTCCGGATAGGATATACTGTTTGTCACTTCCAATGTTGACAATTTTGGTGACAAATTTATTACCTAATGAGAGACAGAGGTTGTTACCTTGTCAGGGTAGTAAAAATGGTAATAATTTTGCTTCTAAATTAATGAGAGTGTGCATAGATGATGGGAGGCACTAAAAACAATTTGTTTCATTGAATTTAAGAATGACGGATAATATATATGTATAAAGTGTCGCGTTTTATCTAGATCTTTATACTCATGATTCAAACTAATAAATTATTTATAAATTCATCTCATTGAGCAACAATTTATGCCAATTAGCTCTGTTGGATTTAATAATTTACTAGCACCATCATACGATCAAGATTACCTGGAACATTACACACTGGTGAAGACATTTGGCTGCAATCCTTTACTTATCGACCATCTTCGTATTATACGAAGACTACTAACACCGACACGACACGTGTATTTATACACGTGTTGATACGTATTCTATCCTTCTATACGCTTTGGTAACTTCCGGTAAAATATGTTCATAACCCCGGAGCATAAACCCACCAAATTATCTAACGTGTATATCCGAAAACATTGATTTAAACCCTTCATTAATAGGAACGAAGAAATTCTCAAGCAAAGGATTAGCTATAATTCAATAGAATGCTTGTAATCATCGGCTTCCCATTTGTCATTGGGTGACCATTAGTGATAGTCCCGGATGTTTTCCAAACTATTATAAAATCTAAAACTTTTCACTTATAATACCTTATAAGTATTATTATGCATAATAACCTCAATTATTTTCGTCGAATGTTTGTCAAGTATTAAATTTCAGTTTCAAATTTACTAGTTTACAGTAATACAGTTTGTAATCTGAGGATAAGCAGCTTTTGAGTTTGGAGTTATCTAACTAGTAAATCTTCTAACTTACGAAAAACCAGCGAAACCATGTTCAGCGAAATCTAGCGCCAATTTCAATAAACCGAATGAATTAATTTATGCTGAAATTCTAAAATCATTGGATTTGAAAGCTTGGTCGACCATCGTGCACGAAAAGTTAGCTTCATTAGCACAAACATTGTAGTACGACGATCCTGGAAAAAATACTCAGCATGTCGAAAAATTGTAGTATATGTAAAATTTATCTAATAACACAATAGAGATATAACATGTTTATGTACTACAAATTCAACATAATGTAATGACAAATTTAGCCTCAACAAATAAACGTTTGCTTCTTACGACTCGCTATCTCCGGGCTTTTTAGCTAGTAGTTCCTTGATAAGGCTGAAAAGTAAACGCATAGAAAGCTAAAAACTGTGCAATTTACTTACAATTATAGTTGCTAGTAAATTACATTGGTAAACTTCTGCTTAATTTTATGCCATGCGATGCTAAATGCCCCCTACTCACGATGATAACGCCATTATCAGACCCATGTAGGCTGGCGAACAAACACCTCGTTTTCAAAATGTTAAAATCCAGCATCTGAAATCTCATCCAAAATGGTTTTCAATATTTTTCATACAAAACTTTTTTGACAAATTCCAAATGACTGATAAACGTTATTTTTCCAATCTTGTTCTAGCTTTATTTTCTATTAATTACTATTTCACCTGGTTAATATTACCACTTCAAATTACATCCGTCATTGGTACACCCTACGTAAAAACCGTTGTATTAAAGTATTATCTGAGAGTATTTGAAAATTGCACAAACACTGTACTTATTCGCAAATCTGAAGACCTAAGCGTTGTCAAGCTCCCAATTATTTTACGTAACCGAACTGAACATGTAACAGAAACAACAGGGGTCAGGTTTTCTATTCAGAGAAGAAATCCCTCAATGCATTGCTGGGCTTTATTTAATCTCTTATCTGAACGGGATGTAATGCAGGCTAATTTTGCAGCTTGGCAGACAACTTATGGTCTCCCATCAGCTGTAGGGCGACAATTTTTAATTTCAACAAAAACATTGGAAGCTACAGTCGACTCAATATGTTTAACTTATGGGAGAGAATTGATATATTTACTTAACTTTGAGATTATACTCGTCGAAATTGGAGAAGCCCAAGCACGGCCAGTATCCTCTCTAAACACATTTGGCCAAACACTGAGAATGCAATATTTTAACTTTTATTATCATGCAGAATTACCGGTGTTAGGACAACCATCGAAAGCTTGGTATTATATTGAATGCTCCCCAAAAATGGTAGTCGACTGTTTCAGCGAGTTACTAGAAATTCGCGAAGCTGTAGCGATCCTAAACAAATATTTTAAACCTAACGGACTGCATTATATAGGAGAAGAACCTGCGACCAGTCTCATGAAATGGTATAACGGAGGATCCAACGAGCTAAGATTTAAAGAAATTGTTGGATTAACAAACTTTAATGATTTTGTCGTATTTTGGGGATTACAGGATGCCTCTGAATTTACCATTCTTAATCTTACCGTTTTTCATCTTCCACCTACGGCTTTTGAATTTCCCGTCCCAATTAATCCTCATTCCTACATTTTAGGAGATGTTTTAACATATAGTTTCATATCTTGCTATAAGGTTAAATCTGAAACATTCATTCTGAGCGCATTGACAACCCCATTCGATGCGGAGTCTTGGCTTTTGATTTTATCAACTTTTTCCGTTATTATTCTTATTTTATCCTTACTGCCATGGACGGTTTCTTTTGAGGGAGCATTTGTTGCTATCGGCATACTTTTAGAAAACTCAGTGTTGGGGGATTTAAAGTCATTTTAACAGAGGTTCACCACAAAAACTCAAGTATTCGGGGTACATGTTTTAATTGGTGTATGGGTGATAATGGCTGGCACAGTGCTCACAAATTTCTACAAAACATCCTTCACAATGGAAATGACTGTACCGGTGAAATATTCACCACCATGGGAGACTTGGCTCGATATTGAAGGAATGCGTGTGCTATTACCTTTAACTATGTTCGATTCTCTACCAGCTTATCCCAAACCACCCCCGTATTATTACTTCATTGAAATCTTAAAAATAAAAATGCACTTTTACATCAATTCGACAAAGTAAGTTTATGTAAATTATCGTTCTCTTGTGCTACATCTCAGATGAAACTATTATTTGACTTGCAATCGACGAAAATACTTCATTTCGAATAAAAATTTTAATTACTTGCAGATACACTAGATTCATAAAAAAATTCGAAGAACTGACACCAAAGTATTTAGATCAATCTACCGCCGCCGACGATTGGAATATCGATGCCATATACAATCGCTTGCAACTTGCCGCGGGTAAAGCAGTACTCCCAATTCCTCCCGTTGGCGTAATTGATTATAATGAAACCGACCGACTCCAAACGACACTTTCAACATGCAAGAAAATTGCGTATTTAGATACAACCGAAAACATTTTTTCATTGCTACCATTTGTAAACGACAACAACGGCAATGTTCAATATTTGACTGGTGTTGAACCACTTTTCACTGTCTATCGTGGATGGATGCTGTTCACAACTCGTAGAAACTATGCTGAGAAGCGCATCAAGATAATGCAATCCTCTGGGATTTATGCCCACTGGCATGACTGGTTTCACTTGAATAAACCTCCCAACGTGATATTTAATCACTATGCAAATTGGACTCACCCAAGGTTTGATGTGATTCCACAATTGACGTATAACTCAAAGGTTCTGACAGGATTCTACATCAGTGGAATTTGCCTAGTGGGTTGCCTAATTTGTCTGATGTATGAACTATTGTATGTTTGGGTGGAACAGACATTGAACCTGGTGCATGAAATCCCATAATTTAAATAAAGCAACACCGTTGTGGCAAGCAATATTCAAGCACCTATCTCACCACGCATTTAGCAGACAAAATTGAGACAACATATCAAATCTGATAATTCCTCAGTATCAATTATGAAACCTTCATAAATTATTGCCTGATTTATGTAATACCCGAGCAGTACCACAAATGGAAATCCGCCCATGTTCTTTAAGTTTTTACTTTTCGCAAGTTCATATGTCACAAGTCTCACGTGCACGCCCTAAACTGCAATAGGGGCGCCACCAAGCGGAATTGCCTATTTGCACTATATATTATTAGCTCACCCTGCGTAGCATGAGAGCTATTGAATTCCTCTTGTCCGTCTGTCCGTCTCTCCGTCTGTCCGTCTGTGTGTTCACGAGTTTTTTGCATCAATTGATGCTAATTAAAATCCCCTTGCCCATTATTGAGCATCTTAATCGCACCATTGGTATCGAACAATCCGTGGCGCAATTGGTGCGAATCAACTTAGGAAATCGATAGGGAAAAGACTACAATTTTGGAATTACTAGCACCTTTGGGGTCGAATAATCGGTTATCGAAAATGATGCAAAATAATTGGGATAATATATGCAAAACGCACCAAAAGTGCTAAGTAACTGGAAGAAATAATTACACAATTTTGATTAATCAGTATGCAAATGGTGCGAATCAGCTGGGAAAATTGATCGACAGTGGAGTACAATTTTGGAATAAGTAGCACCGTTGGTATCTAACAATCCATTGATCAAAATGATGCGAAACAATTGGTTACATTGATCCAAAGCGCACCAAAAATGCCGAATACCTAGAAGAAATGATTTCAAAAATTTGACAACACGATCGTATTGTTTCCTGACAAAAATCCAAATTGTGTCAGAATTAGATATTTATTTTGTTGCCTTACTCTGCACTGTTGATGCAAAATTGTACCAAAATCCTACATCTGTTGTCCGATTATAATGCACCATTGATGGAAAATTATGGAAATCTTATACTTATTTTGGGCGCTTGTTCGGCACCTTTGGTGCAAAGTAATATCCTAATTAAAATTACAGGGTGAGCTACTTCCAACGTTACTACGGTTTATTAAGTTTTTTCTAAGTAGATAATAAATAAAACCTTATGTTTACAATGAATATAATTCACGGGGTAGAAATTAAAATTTGAAATTTGTTTGAGTACCAGTAAAAACAACTGTTTTTCTCAATTATCGTCGTTATGTAAAGTTTTCATGGTTCAATAAGTTTTGCATTCTGGGACCACGATTTAATAAGGATGCTCAATGTTTAAAATTTCGGCCAAACAAAAAAAATAATTTCTTTTTAATTAGTGCGGCCTTAATTACGGCCATTTTTCTTCCGGTTCAATTAATTTTATGGCAATCAATTAATTTACATTGTGCAAGTTTATTATTTCCGATGAAATATTTATTATCGCAGTTGTTGTTGTGTCCTAATTACACGACGTGCATGCCATGATTCTGTCATTCCATCCGATTTCTTCGAGGTTGTCGTGCGAAGGGGTGCCGGGGTAGATGTAGGTGCTGTCCCCGTTGCAGCTGCTATCGTCGAAAACACGGATGCATCCCCCTTTCGTGTCAATGGAGGAAATCTTCCTGTCCCAGTATCTTCCCCAACCTTCGCACTTGTAGTTGCACCGAGTGTTACTGTACTCTCCTGCGAGGAAAAAAAGCGAAAAATTACACAAACGTACATAAATATGTTGTAGTAGTCGTACATATGCACTCTAAATAAAATTTAGTAAAATTTGAATCGTTTTACAACTGGTTGAGTATAATTTACTCAATGTTGTATGATCAATACATACTCAACAATGGGTAGATTTTACCCAAAGTTGAGCAAATTTTATTATCCAACTTGTCTTATCTACAAATTGTAGACTACAATTTAAGTTTACAAAAAAAATACACCAAAATTTTTAAAAAAACTAAGAAAAAACTTATAATTTATCAAACTTTGCTAAATTTTACTACAATTTATTTATTGCATTGTTGTCTCAACTTACCCTGGAAGTAAGCGTCGGCGTAGATTTTTATATCCACGCCATTCACGACGGCCACAAAGAGTAAGATGAGTAGAAATGTGAACATTTTTGAGCAGTTTTTCAATATGTTATTCGAGCTGGTGAGGAGTTCATTTTATACCCAGATCGGTTAAAGTGGAAATTATCGAGGAAAAACCTGGTGTCGTTATTAATCACTTTTCAAAATTGGGACGAATACATTAAAATGCTCCAGGTTTGTACATATAGAATTTCTGTAATATCAGGTAATAATTATTGTAATTTGCATTTATGAAACAACAGACTGCTAAAGTGACAAGTATTTAAAATGTGTTTTTAATTGCGGATTGGATTGATTTATTCCAGAATTTGCGTACACAAAAATATGTATTAGAGAAATGCAAAACATGAATAAATAATTTCAATTCGAATAAAAGTGTTACACGGACCAATTACATATGCATGACTAAGAGATTTAACAATTACTAAATTGGAGAGAATATTTCACGTCATCTACGTACATATAATACGTGACATATGTACATATTTAGTAAAATCGTTTCACAATATAGCATAATTTATTGTGGACTTTTATTGCCGATTAATAAAATTTAATACGGCAAAACAATTATGATAATAAGTACATATCTATTTACAATTTAGTGAATTTGAGTAATTCTACGGATGTGGGGTTTAACTAGCGGCATATGACGTACATACACTGTTTATCGGGTATTGCGATCCGGATATGAAATCCGGTATTGCATCAATACCAATCGGTATGCATATGTACATATGCATGTGACTCTAATAAAAGGAATACCGTACTGTATCAAGTCAGTAGTAAAGTTATCCCAGAACAGTACACGGTGTCCTTTCCAAATAGGTAAGCTTCACCAGCTGTATTTTAGATTTTCGAAGTTCCATCAAAAATATTTCACAGGGCATGAAATTAGTGTAATAGAAACGAAATTTTGAAAACAAGCTGCCCCTACATATCCGCTATGGACATTTTTTTCTAGGTTGGGGTCCATAGATCACAGATTTTTTGGCATCTTTTGAGTTAAGAAGCTGAAATTTAGAATTCTACAGTGTCTTGAGTGTCGCTAGGCGGCATTTTCTAGCGTTAAGGTTTCATGTCGAAAATGAACTATTTTCCCCACCTCGATTGTGAAGTACAATGTCAAGTCTCACATGACCCCATAAATGGCGTATCGTTAGAAAGGTCTCGATAAGTGGATTCAGATTATATATACTTTGTTGGGTCTGTCACCGCCCCCTGAGTATTTAGAGGCCGATGAGTATTATTTAATTTTCGTCAGATGAGACTTGATCTTGTTACTCAATGATCTTTAGCAAATGAAATAATTTTAACGTGGCATTGGATGCGGGGTTTGAGTTTGAATTGTTGTGTCTCAACTTTCCCTTCCTCCATGTATTCAAATGGCGATTTTGAAACATGTTCATCGCCTTTCGTTTTTTACAATATGAAGATTTTAATGCACCTAAAAATCGGTAATTTTTAGGCTTACAAAGTTAGGAGATAAAAATTTGGAGTTTTTTGTTTAACCAGGAGATAAATATAAAATAGATGAAAAATAAACAATAAAAATTAAATATTTCCTCATTGAAGAAAAAAATATAAATTTTTATCTCCTAACTTTGCAAGCCTAAAAATTACAGATTTTTAGGTGCATATTGCATATTGTATTGTAAAAAACGAAAGGCGATGAACATGTCTCAAAATGGCCATTTGAATACATGGAGGAAGGGAAAGTTGAGACACAACAATTCAAACTCAAAACCCGCATCAGCTAGCATGCTATTCTACCTTAATACCCAATAGTAACAAATTTAATAAAGGGAAATCAATACTACGTGACTATACAAGACTTCAAAGTGCATATTTAGTAATAAGCGTTGAAAAAGGAACGAGAGTTTGTGTTGCTACTTTATTAAAATTTCCGAATAATTTAAGAAGTGTGGATAGAAAGTTGAAATTCGAAATATTGGCTTCATTGATTATATGAATCGATATGATTAATATGTCGTAACATATACACCCTGACTCGGGCTATATCAAGCTACACTGGAATTTTGAACCTTCTCTATATACACAAATAAATGTTCACATCCATTCATTTAATGATAAATGAATAAATTATTCATTCAGTACAGAAAAATTAAATGAATATTTCATTCTGATCTTTGAATAAATGAATGTTGAATGAATATCTATTCAATTCATATGAATGAATATTTTTTTCATCATTCATGTTTAACTCAATGCATAATACATAGGGAAAGTTGAGAAATTCATCTAATACTGTGTATTTTGAAGAAAATGAATAATGAAGGTAGGGTGACCATATTTGTCCTGACTAAAACCGGGACATTTTTTGGCCGAAATTTTTTTCCATAATATCCAGTGTTTGGCGAAAAAATTTGCCATAATATCTAGTGCTTGGCGAAAAAATTTGCCATAATATCTAGTGCTTGGCGAAAAAACTTGCCATAATACCTAGTGCTTGGCGAAAAAATTTGCCATAATATCTAGTGCTTGGCGAAAAAATTTGCCATAATATCTAGTGCTTGGCGAAAAAACTTGCCATAATACCTAGTGCTTGGCGAAAAAATTTGCCATAATATCTAGTGCTTGGCGAAAAAATTTGCCATAATATCTAGTGCTTGGCGAAAAAATTTGCCATAATATCTAGTGCTTGGCGAAAAAATTTGCCATAATATCTAGTGCTTGGCGAAAAAATTTGCCATAATATCTAGTGCTTGGCGAAAAAATTTGCCATAATATCTAGTGCTTGGCGAAAAAATTTGCCATAATACCTAGTGCTTGGCGAAAAAATTTGCCATAATATCTAGTGCTTGGCGAAAAAATTTGCCATAATATCTAGTGCTTGGCGAAAAAATTTGCCATAATATCTAGTGCTTGGCGAAAAAATTTGCCATAATATCTAGTGCTTGGCGATTCAGATATCACTGAATTTTGAGAATGAGCCAGGAGAGGAAATTAAGTAAATATTGCATGCATGTTACTAGTATTTATGCACTAAAATGTACTTTTTCATCAATATTTTGGCGAAAAACTGAAATAATTTAATTTTTCTCGACGATTTAAAAAACCGGGACACTTTATCAAAACCGGGACATTTTCGCGACGCCGGGACAGGGTTTGAAAAGCGGGACATGTCCCGGCTAAACCGGGACGGATGGTCACCCTAAATGAAGGAATGTTGAATAATTAATGAATATTTATTTTGCAAATTATGATTGAGAGAGTAAGGAATGAATATTTTTTAAAGGCTTTGAAAAATGAATAAATATTTTGATCGGAAAAGTTTAGACTTGACGTTTACACAGAAAAAGAAACCGACGTGTAATATTGTTACACAAGCTATGACTCTGGCTAAAAACCAAGTATGATAAAGAGTCTTTATTAAAGACTCTCACTCATCTCAATCCATAACAAGTTGACATGCACATACAATTTTTGATATTACAATAAAATGTGTCAACGTGATTCACACGTGATCCATAATTCAACCAGAGTTAATTAATTGATAATTGATAATCAAGTCACTGCGGAGAAATTCCATTGTGATGTTGAAAATAAATCAAGAGTATTTTGCTTTGCAGAGTGCAAAATTGACCACGGCCTTGCTCTTGGTTGCATGTGATGCTTATTTATCATGTCGAACTCGGTAGCATGTCTCGTTTTCGTGTTCAATTAATAAAATTCCGACTCATACCACTTACCACTGATAGCCTTGACATTGATTGATGAATGATGACACAACGCCTTTGTTAATTTATTTATAATATTGTCCACCCCAACTCGTCAAAGTATTTAAGCTCCAACTCAGAACCCGATTTAACCAGTCGTTGCTGTTTACTACTACCAATTTTCCTTCTTTAACACAGTTTAACACTAACGTCATGATTATTGTCGGCTTGTTGGCCCTCGTGGCATGTGCTAATGCTCACACTGCAGCTTTTGCACGGGGCATGTACTGCCAAGGGGGACCCAATCCGGGTCAAGATGATTCAAACACTAACACCGCTGTAGCCCCACTTTACAATTTACCGAGATCGCAATGGTGGTTCCAAGCCGACCGAGGCTGTGACAGGGTCCCACCTGCACCTGGCGTGTTCCTTGAGCTCCCTGCTGGTGGTTCTTTCACCGTCGAGCTGGCCCATAACCGGGCTCAAACCACGTTGTCGTACGACGGACAGTTCACTTCGCAGTGGCCCGACGGTCAAGAACATCCCGAAGACTGGAAGGGACCAGGAAATCCTCCAGATTGCATTCAGGAAGACGGGGCCTTGCACACAAATAACCAGAGCATGGCGGCTGGGACGGCGTTTGCTATCAGCTACGTGTCTGACATATCTGCCGTGACGATGGAGAATTTAGTTGTTTTCTCAGTTCTTCCCAAGTAAGTAAAAACTGCCGAAGTATTTATTTCTCCACATTGTATTAATTACAAAATAATCTGTCGGTTTGTAGCACCCCATGGAAACGTATTGCCACCTATGCCGTCCCTCGTGACCTTCCATCTTGCCCCGCAGATGGGTGCACGTGCGCCTGGCTTTGGGTTCCAAAGGGATGCGGAGAGCCTAATATGTGAGCGAATTTAAAGCTGTGGAACAATTTAATGCCAAATTTTCATTAGCGGTGTAATTAAAATGAAATTACTAATCTATAGGTACATGCAAGGATTCAAATGCAGGGTGACTGGATCAACCTCCACGAGGCGACTTGCCCCAGCCCAGCCACCCAGGTACTGTCCCAACTTCAACGAATGTACCCGTGGTGCCAAGCAGATGATTGTGACCCGACGTAAGCTCAACACTAATGCAATGATAAACAGTTTAGCAGGATGATGGGTAATTCATCTGTAAAATATTTAATGCAGAGGCTGAGGGCAACAATGTTGAGGTTCCTCAAAATGACTTTGTGTCATACAGTGCTGATTGGGGATTCTCACCAGGTTAGTTGGAAGCAGTGCTAGATATGTATAGTAATTATGCATGATTACATGGGGGTTTAATATATTTTAGGTGCCCAGAACGATATTTTCGTTTAGTAAGGATGTAGCATGGCTGACAAAATTCTTATTTGACATGGCCAATTTTATGAATTGTAAAACTCGCATTCTAAAATAAATTAATTTTCTTGTACAAATTGGAAATTAAAAAAAACATTCTGCATTATTTACCTTCGATGAAGTTAGACTACTTTATTTGGTGCACCTATTTATTTGTCAACAACAATGGCTTATGCTAATAAACATAGTAATAAATTTACTAATCGTTAGTAAATTTACATTATCATTTAAAACAAAAAATAAATACCCTTGTGCACGCTATCAAAACTTTAATTTGCCAATTTTTTAAAAATTTGATCCATCAAATCTTAGTAATCCGCATTTTCAGAATCTGACACCTTTTTCATCAGTGTTCGTAGCAGGAACAGATCGTTAAAGAGACAACTGAATGTTTTCCAGGAGAATAGGATCCATGACAACACTGCCCTTCAGCAAATGGGTTCATGGCACTTGAACAGGAACATGTTCCATTCGTAATGCATCGCTTCACCTGCAGATAAATTAGTCCTTACATACATATTTCATCTCGTTTAATCTGCCCGTCAAAACTTTTGGGAATTTTTAAAGCGGTGGCTATTTTGTCCAACCCTTCTATCAAATGAAATTTAAATTGATATTTAAATTAATGTAGTTTAAAACCTTATAGAAATTGATTTTCTTTAGCTTTATTAGACCAACAAGGCGACTTGGTTGATGAGTAACCTGTCGTGTGCATTAAATACGTAACATATTTTTTTACTGTAATTTCTGGCACATACAGTTAGCAAAATTATTAAGTGGACCTTTTGCAGTTATGACAGAAATCTTAGTGTTTTAACATTCTGGAAATGTATCAGGATTACAAAATATATCTATTCGACACGAACTTTAATGGAGATTCCAGAAATCATATACATGAAATGCTAAAACTGTAACAGTTTTCACAATGTTATAGATGGGGCCACAAAGATTCCAAAATGCAGAGATGCATAAGATGCATAAGATGCATAAAATGCATAAGATCTACTTCAATATGAAGTTAAACAGTTATATAATAGTTGAGAGTAAAATGTTTTTGTTGTGAAATGGAAATAATTGTTGCATTTATTTAACTCTGATTTAAGAAATGTGAGAATTACATAATATTGAAATTATTTTACTTTAGTGGACGCTTAACACCCCATGTGCATATAAATGAAATCCACCGACTAAAATTTGCCTTAAGCATATAATAATTTGCTCGAGAAATAAAAGACTATGCACAATTAATAAATCAGGAACAATAATCTCCAAGGGGGTACTATAACAAAGTAATAACTCCATGTGCTTACACTTTGTCATCCCATTTCTTCCAATCTTCCAATTTCTATCACTATCCAATTTCTTCATTCGTACCATATTTATGTAGATGGTGATATTTTTATAACCATTACGCTTATATTTGAGAACGATTCAGTCTCTTTAAGTTTGTCCATCCAGTCCTAAATTATCGTTCCCTGCGTTCCTTCCATAAATTATCCTTCCGCCAGCAGTGTTGCCAGAAAAGTCTGTGACAAATAATATTTACATGATTGTGTACTATTACAAATTCTAGGAATTAAATTAGCTGGTCAAGAAACCGTACATAGTTGGAGCAGATGCCTTCCAGTTGACTTTCTCCACCACTTTTTTTCATTTCGCACCACCACCCAATCAAGCCAACGGGCTTGAATACGTCTTAACTACATACATGCATCTTAAATACTCCAATTACCCAAAAATATTCATCCCCTTATGATATCTTTAAGACGTGCTCAATGTTAAGAAACATCTGAAAGATATCTTTGGACATTTACATAAAATTCTTAAAGATATGGTAGTGACCGATCTGGAAGTTATAAAGTACAAGAAAAAAGCTGTTCAGCTTAATTAAATGTGACAGAACAATGGCATATGCCGACACCTCATTCTCTGTCTGACTCTGGACAACATAACGCATCAATCAAACCCCGCAAAAGTATGTTGGCAAGTGCTGGCTGCAAAATTCTGGGCAGCACTACATATTAATAAACAATGTCCAAACCTGATTGACTGCTATATACACACTTAAATTAAAAAAACTTGATTATGTACAAATGGTGATGTCATTCTTAAGTATGTAGCCAAGCCAACCGTGATGCTATCATGATTCGCAGACATGTTGATCACGTTGCAGATTCACTACACACCTTCCTAAGTGGATCAGGCGGATCATAAATACCAAACAACGGGACATGCTACAGCCCAACTTTATTTTGAGATAGCAACCAACCCAATTATTTATTGTTTATCTCGTGACAGTGATGGATTCTCGGGTTGTTTGTCAACTCACGAGTGGTTTGCAAATTGCTAGGGTTCGGAAAAGGAAAAAAACATTTTATCAATTTAAATTTGTTTTAAAGCTACGCCTGAAATGGCGATCAATCTGCAAATTGTATTTCGCAATATGCGTAAGGTAAGTAAATGTAGGTAAAACAACAATAAAAAGCACAAAAAAGAGAAGGACAAAAATAGACAAAAAGATAGCAAGAAAAAAACTAGCTCAGCAATACAGCTTATTTTTACTTTGGTCTTTTACCGAGCACTGCGAATTACTAAACAAATTCAATAGTTTCAATCCGTCATTGTCATCAGGGAGAAAGCCGGCAGAGGGACGTGTCTGTCATAATTATTGCTAATCAGAACGTATTTTCGTATGTCGGTCAAACTCTGCAGTATCATGCAAAATAAACCGTTCAGACCATAAGATATCCAGTAATTGGATGGAGCTGTGCGATTTTTAGGCACCAATGATGATAATTTAGTACAATTCTATACCCGTTAATGGGGTCATAGGGTTAGCAGTGATTAATACGTTGGCTAGTTCTGAAAGCAAAAAGCACACGATACGCTGACACGTCCAGGGTTCCAAACTGGAAAAATATGTCACAACTTGCCTGTGATAAAAGTATCCATATAGGTGAAATACGTTTGGAGCGGTATGCATACATACTTCTGAAGTAATTATATCTATGTGCCCCCCCCTCGGTAGTGGAAATATCAGTCTAATTGCGCGTTGACCAAATGTAAGTAATCACCCACGTCACTCGTATCTCTCTCATATCTCTCTCGTTTCAACCGACAGGTTCAAACCAATTTGGGAAAATTGGAACCCTACCAAATTCCAGTGGAATGTAAGCAAATAAGTAATCACGATCACGTCGTCCGCAACTGCTGCTCTACTACTCATCTCACTCGACCCGACTATTATTAACCGATTTATCATCCACCCAGATAGATATGAAGCAACGACACTCCTGTTAAATCCACAGAATTCCGCCGGGTATATAAAGCCCTTCACGCTCCACACATCGCCACTGCCACTGCCACCCTTATCCCGTCTCGTGTCACCAAAACAAAGGACAAAATGCGTCTCTCCCTCCTCCTCTTGGGGCTCCTCGCCCCGTCCCTCATTCTCGCCGCGGATCCCTGCAATCCCCGCTACTACCCGGATGGCATGGTCTGCGTGTGTGACGAACTCTGGTGCGACACCATCGATCCCCTCACCCCCACGCCGAACGGAATCGTCCAAATTTTTGAGAGCGATCGCGACGGAAACAAGCGCTTTGTCCGCCGCCTCCAATCCTTCAACGGGACCGAAGACCCAGTCGGCCAGGTTTGGAACGTCATCCTTCAACCGACCACACTCCACCAAGAGATGCTCGGCATTGGGGGCTCCTTCAGCGACGCGGCCGCCTTAAACCTTGGTCGACTAAGCCCCAAAATGTTGCGGGATGCGTACACCTCCTTCTATGGCGCCACTGGGGCTGAATTCGCGTTGGGAAGAATCACAATTTCCGGGTCGGACTTCTCCACCCGGCCGTATTCGTATGACGACGTGGCAGAAGACATTGGCCTGGACTCGTTCGGCTTGGTGGATGAGGATCTTTTGTTCAAGGTGAGGTCAACGTTGGATACGTCCAACATATTTCGATACATAATCCAAGTCAACGTATTTTTCATGATTTAGACAAACCCTAAACTTTATGAAATGTTTATAGATCCCACAACTCAAACTGGCCAAGGAGTTGGCCGCTCAACCGGTTAAATGGTACGGTTCCTCGTGGGCGCCTCCAGCCTGGATGAAAACGAACGGGATCGTCAATGGGAACGGGACTTTGAGGGATGGGCCTGGTTCTGCTATTTGGGAGTCTTATTCGCAATACTTGGTCAAGTAAGGGATCAAATTACTCTTCTTCTTTTGCTGAAACATTTTATAAGTGGAGATATTCTACTCATTTCTTTAGATTCTTGGACGCATACAAGGCCGAAGGCGTCGATCTTTGGGGAATGACAGGTTGGCTTGAGTACAAATATACTAATTAATTAATCAACCTATTAATCTCCTCCCTTTATTCACCCTACAGTTCAAAACGAGCCCATGACCGGCTTCTCAGAAACCTTCCCCTGGAACACGTGCGGCTTCACGGCCGCCATGGAGCGTGACTTCATCGTCCAACATCTCGGCCCAAACCTTCGCTCCGCCGGGTACAATACCCCGACCAATTTCTCCCTCATGATTCTAGACCACGATCGCGTCCACGTGCAGAACTGGACCGAGACCATTCTTGCGGACCCTGTCTCGAACGAATTTGTGGCTGGAACGGGTGTCCACTGGTATGGCAGCGACTCAGTCCCGGTCTCCGTGTATGACGAGATTGTCGCCAGATTCAACAAATTCGTCCTCCTCACCGAGGCCTCCATGGTCTTCGGGGAGGACCCGGTCGGTCTTGGGAGCTGGTACTTGGCCGAAACTTACATGCAAGACATCGCCTCCACGACGCAACACTCCGTCGCGGGATGGACGGATTGGAACTTGGCGCTCAATACGTCGGGTGGTCCCACCTGGGCGGGAGTTAGTGAGAGGTCAGCACCCATTATTGTGAGCGATGATGCCACAGAGTTCTACAAGACGCCGATGTACTATGCGCTTGCGCATTGGAGCAAGTTTGTCGTTCCGGGATCGAGACGAATTGCGACGGTTCCAGTGTTTCCGGTAAGATGGGGATTTATTAAATTATTATTATACCCGGGAGTTGAGCCCTAATTTACTTTCGATTTAATTTTCAGGGTACTTCCGATTTCCGTGTTACCGCCTTCCTCCGCCCGGATGGTAGCGTGGCTATCGTCTCGTACAATATGTTCGAGGATGACCAGGTCCTCAACTTGACGGTTCCAAACAAAGGAACGATTAAGATCCGAGTGGGTGCCAAGTCTTTCAACAGTTATTTGTATTATTAGACTTAATCTGGCTATCTTAATCTAAAAGCGTTTTTATTAGAAAGATAAAGTTGAAATAAAACTGGTCATTCGTTCAATCCTGTGTTGTCACTGCACCAATTTCCTCCAATTTTTGTATATGCACGTGTTTATAAATATGTTTTACACTCTCTTCTTAATTTTAAGATAAGCTATGTGCAATAATTTTCAAAAACTGCAGTCGGTATGGAGTTCATATGTACTACACTGGTAAATTATCAGGCATCTATAATATCAATTTTTGCGAAATATAAAAATGTTTTGAAGGTTTTCGCAGACGAAAAATTCATATCGTATTTGTGTATACTGTGAGCATAAATTTGCATATTCAAATTATCAAATTAACATATCGGTTAAATTCAGTCGCTAATTTGTAATTAAACATACGCTCTACTTTCGTATTTATGTAAAAAACCAGAAATTATTTTTATTGGTGAATTACTTGATGTTAGAGAGCTTTAAATATTTAATGTGATAATATGATTGTTGACATTTCACAAATGTTAATTACGGATAGTTCTTCGGAAAATATATAAAATTTAAAAAATAATACGAGATAAACTCTTACATACACATACATACATAAATAATGCTAAAAAAATATTTGGCAAGCAAGACGACGGATATGCTGAATTAGCCTGAATAACAAAGTTGCTATAATTTGTATCACATATTTTTAGAGATAAATATATTTATTGCAAATTATATTACCGAAGGTCAAATGCCACGACAATTTTAGACAGGAGGCATCTCAATTCTGCAAAAGACTGCTCACAACGGAACTTTTTTTCAAGCCACTCCGGGATTTTGTAGCGATTTTAATATATCAAAAAATTCAGTCAAGAATTATGTATGAATCCCGTGGCGCTTATCGTTCCATTGAATGGTCCCTTTGAAGAGGAATGTTCGCGGTATGGTTCAATTTTTGAGTGAATTTACTCTCATCTTTTCGACCACGGGGCCAGACAACAGGGCAGACGATTAATTTTGACCCCCTATATTTTTCATCAACGGAACGATAATTGTCACTTGAGTCCTAATTTTTATGTTGATTTTTTTATATAATTGGCTACTAAATCCTGGTGTAGCTTTAAGAAAGATTCCATCGTCAGGTTGAAGAATTAAGTCGTCAAAGCAAATTATAACATTGTCAATACAACAAAACATTAAGACTATAATTTTTACAACGAAAAGGTTGTCCTAAACTTTTAGACGTCAATAAAGAGGAAGCCAGGTATGCATAGCATCGCAAAAAATTTTAGGTTCAAATATTCATGATTTCCTACATAGCATCACTAATATCGTAAAAATATTATATTTAGGAAATATGTAGAGGCTAAGCTACGTATATAAAACATATTTAATACGTAATCATTTAAAAAAAATCAAGTGACCCCCTACAGAATCCAAATATTTACTAACCCTCGCAAAAAAACATGACTAATATGAAAACCTGAATACCCTCATACATAGAATATCAGTGCAGGTTAACTATTATATTAGCAATTCCCAACTTTGATAAGTATGTAAATTCGTCAAATTCGTATTCAAATCAAGTTTTCAACTTCGGCTAAGTACTAAATAAATAAATTTGGTGAAGAATCTACCCATTGCATTGTCCTCACATAATATTCCATTTATTTAGAATCCTAAAGATCATGGCAGATCTTATATTCAAATTCGCCGACTCCTACGCCAAAATATACAATCGGTTGCCTCGCTTGGCTATCGAATATGATTCAAAAACCCGTCGCTACATCGCCATCAGCAATATCAAGAAACTTCTGGGATCCATATTTAATTGTTTGGTAATCATGTGGCTTTTTACGGAGGGGCCGAAATTGTTGCAGTTTTTCTATCTCGTACACCGTTCAGTGGAACTGGGTCACTTCCCTACGATGTTGGAGGAACCGTTCGCGTCGCCAACGCAGCTGCTGTCGATAGCGATAATTACTATAACATCCGGGGCTGCGCCGATACTCGCCGGGATTGCGTATCTGTTCAACACGGACATTGTAAAGTTCTTGAATGAGCTTCTCAACCTGGAGGATGACCTGGTGCAACGTGGTATATTTTAACCCTTTAAACTGTAACGACGACAATAATCGTTTTATAAGAAATGGTTTAATTCGGGAGTACGACAAACGTCGTCCTGAAAAATCGTGGTCATGGTGCGGAAGGAAGACAATTGTCGTATCTAGGAGGTCATTGATTTTCACCATTTTCTCTCCGCGACCTAAAATTTGTTGCAATTTAGAGGGATTTCTCCTATGCCAACACAATGCTAAATTTGAAGATTTTCTTCCCAAAAATTTGGATATTTCCCTATACAACTCTATGTTAAATTTTTGATTTTTCAGTTTTTCGAGTTTTATAGAACACTCCTGAATTTCTCGTCCCCCGCCATGACCACAACATACTTATAGATTTAATGCATTTTTTTGTCGCTAATCATACACGTTAAAGGGTTAATTTCGTTTCATACATATTTTTCACTTTCTACATTTTGTGCATTACATATATTGATATTACATATATGAAAATATATCCTATTCCTCTACAGGTTTGGAAAGGGAGGAGATCAAACGTACGAAAAAATTTAAAGGAAAACTCTCCCCCACAAGTAAACTCTTCATGGAGCTGGTTCAACTCATCCCATTCTTTGTCCTTTACATGGCTCCAGCCTTAGTTGTTTTCGGCATGTACAATAACTTGGACCCGTTCCATTTCATTTTCTACTGGTCTCCAAAATATAGACGGGAAAACGTCATAATCCGAATGTCTATAAATATCTGCTCTTTCGTTGTCCTCACACTTGCGGCAATATTTGATGGCCAAATCCTTCTCGGCATGGGGATGCTTTTTGCAATGGCAGCCTGGATATTACTTCGCATCGTGTGCCTGATTGAAACAGATTATACGGAGCGACGAGTGTGGATGCGCTCAGGGAGGGAACGGAGGTAATTGTTGCAAACTCATCTTCTTGCCAAGTGATATGTATGAGTGACAATCCCAGGGAAGGAAAAGCCCTGGGTTTTGCTATTGGAAACCCATACCCTGTGGTCTTACCGGTGTGCGGATCTTTGCCCCCCATTAAAAGCTACCCATGAAATGCTACCCATTATATCCTACCCCACCCGTTATCATTTTCTTCTTGCTAATTAAACCAAAATGGATACCCCGTTTTGCGTCATAGTGCAACAGCACAGTTATTGTTTATTTAAGCAAAATTAGTCACATAATAAATTCTGAAAAAACGAATCGAAACACAAAATTTCGTAAAATCAGTCTAATAATAAATTCTCAAAAAAAACAATCAAGCTGTAAAAATTTTACTGCGGATACGATAGGATCTTCCGATTTTACGAGATTGTGTGCTTGGATTCGTTTTTTCAGAATTTATTATGTGACTAATTTTGCTTAAATAAACAATAACTGTGCTGTTGCACTATGACGCAAAACGGGGTATCCATTTTGGTTTAATTAGTAAGAAGACAGTGATAACGGGTGGGGTAGGATATAATGGGTAGCATTTCATGGGTAGCTTTTAATGGGGGGCAAAGATCCGCAAATCGTCTTACCTGGGTTTTGCGGGTAGTCGGGGTAAACTTAGCCAGTGTCTCATGTGGTACATAAGTTGTAAAAAATATATTTCTCAGTAATTTCGCAACAAAACAGCTTAGTAATTATATTTTAATAAGTAATGCATTTGTAACGTCCAGTAATGTCCAGTTTGTAAACTTTCAAAACCCCGACTACCCGTGGGCACTGTTCAAATTTTGCTTACCCACAGAAACTCGCAATACCCCAGTACACCCAAAAACCCTGGACAATCCATTATTGGAACAAATTATTAGGTTATTGGCCCGATTCGGGTTAAGTATAATTTGTGATGAACCCGATAGAATTTCTGCTCATTATGATCTAACAAGACTCATGTTATATGACATCGTTTTATTTAATTTATGAATGCCCCTCTAACTTTTTTCCCCAGGGCAATAATCATCTTGTACAACCGAATCCTTCTACTTCTCGTTGGACTTGCACCACCACAATCGACCATCACGCTCTTCGCGGTGGTCGGATGTGCCATCGTCATCGTTGTGCTCAACATCATGTCGATCACGATGTATGCCACGTTGCCATTCAATGTCTACATGATGGGACCAACCTTTTCCATCGGGCTGGTCTTGATTCTTAACGCCATCTTGAAATCTGTCTCCTACTACGAGATATTGAGTAAGGAGATGCTGCATCGCTGGAAAAACGACGCACGGCTGGTAGCTTGGGGCATCCTGAAGGAGCACGGTCGGCGGGTAGTTGCCATGAGGCCGATCCTCGTGTACATAGGTGTCTGGCGGACGAACCTTCTTCAAATCAATATTGAGCTTTTGTGTCGATGGAACGCGGCCATTGTGGACGCCACGATTACGGTGTTGCTAACGAACACGTGATTTGTCGATAATTCGACAACTTTATTTGTGCCTCCCTTTTCTGGTTTTAAATTGTTAAAGTAGTTTTCTGTTTATATTTACAATAATGAGGTGTAAATCCTTTCGTTATTTAAAAAAAATTTGTTTATGCAGCGATGTACTTAACAGGGCCCCTATGGGTTTTGCCCGCAATATTGTGGAAATGAGCCATCATTGATATTGGCCAGATAATTCTTTTTTGCCACTTAAGAATAAAGCGAATTAAAATTTGCCTATTTAAAATTTTTAACCGAAAACGATTTTATTACTCTGATTACTTAATCTGATTAATTTTACGTTTTTGCCTTCACGATTTCAATTAAGCGGTTTCAAATGGCAATTTGCATTTACATAGTTGAAAACCAGGCAGCCAACTCTTCCACTTGCAACTTGCCGTCCTTATTTGTGTCAGCTTTTTTTATTATTTCTTCAAACTTGAATTTCCCCTTTTCCCCAAACAGGCCTGGGTCGAAGGCTCTCATTGCGGCAACACCAGCTTCGTACTCACCCGCTGAGATAACTCCGTCCCCATTCTTGTCGAAATGCTTGGCAACGGTGAGGCAGTAGGCTTGAATGTCGTGCAGGCTTTCGAACACTTTTATGATATCGCTGACCCGAGCTAGTTCATCTCCGTAGGGGACACGGAAGTAATTTTTGTACGCTTCGGCTTGTTTCGGTGTGGTCGGAATGCCGACGGCGTTGCAGAATATGATATATTCAGAATTGTGGATTGTGCCGTCCTTGTAGGATGGGAGACTTTGCAGGATCCCCTTGAACTTTTCCAGCTCTTCTGGGGTAAATGGCTTCTCCAGTAGGTGGGATTCCCCCATGGCTGCTGCGTTTAATGTGAAAATACAGAGTGGTTTAAATGTCGGGTTACAATGGATAATTTTTCAGTGGGAAAAATTCACAAATCTCCATTAGTTAGCGAAATTTTGCCTTTTGAAATTTAATATTTAAAAAATTTTGTTATAAGTGTTCCATAAGTTGTTTTGATAGGAATTAATAAAAATCTCAATGCCAAATCCGTAACTAGTGGAGATTTGCGAATTTTTCCCATTGAAAAATTTTCCATTATAACCTGACATTTAAACCACCCTGTACATATTTAAATATGGACAAGTTTTTTATTATTAATTAAGATAAAAGTTCTAAGATCTATTAATTAAGTTCATCATTCGAAAGGCTGGTGGCCATGTTAAAAGCATTGGGAAAATGGCAGGTTTTGGTGCAGCTCTTGCCAAATATTTCGCGAAAACGTGATTTTGCACCGCATGTTCTATGACAAAGTTTTAGTTTCATTAAATTATCTGTCGATTAAGGCTATTCCGAAGTAAATCGAGAGTGGACAGTAGTTGAGGTTCCCTTGTAAGCGGTAGCAACTTTTATACCAATAAATCAATGCCTGCGTAACTTTACCAGATTTCTAACGGTGTAGCATCGTACAGCAATCAGAATTTTGGCCGGTAGCCACAAAAGCTTGAGTGTGAAAGAACAAGGAAGAATTTGACGAGGAATGCATGGATTCCGAGGACCCATGTCCTCGGAATTTTACATGTTATGCAAAAACGAGGAAACACGTAAACCGTTGGATCGGATTATGGAAATTTATGTTCCGACTTTGATCTGCATCAGGTCGATATTACGACAAGGCGGAATACGTGCGTAGTATTGACATGGAAATTGCAGTGGAGCAGTGGAAACAGTTCGTGAAATGTTCGACTTGCCAGCGTAAGTTCCAACCTTACCAACCTTATCAGTAAGATAAGGTTGGATAATCAGCAGTCGAAAATACTGATATTAACATTCCGAATCAGAAAATGAGACGCCATCCTAAAAGATAAAAAGGAGATGGTATTGAAGAGCAGAAAGAGATTAAGGGATTACCTGTATTTTTGTATCTTTGTGCAGTTTAATCGATATTTTTGTTCTAAAATTTCGGATTTTTCCCTATAGCGACCAATGTTAAAAAGTGGATTTTTCGTGATTTTCGAAAAAAACTCCAAAATTTGGAAACTGGTTGAATAAATTTTTATTTGTCTTTTTTAGAGGTGAAATGGATATGGAAATTATACAATCCATTGATTATGGATTGCAGGGCCGTAGGAGCACTGGTTTTAGGTGGAGAGCACTCTCCAGGCCGGACGGCCCGAAGGGCCGTACCGGCCGGGTGATGCAGACACTAGATATTATTGACCCTCCTATGTACATGTTAACTTATACATAGAACCTAACGTCCCAAACCAACGCTTACATAGTTATAAATTGAATCTTGATTTTGTTCACTTCTGAAAAGTTTCAGTGATCTCACAAAATGACACAATACTCAAACTTAAGCCTTCTGTGACGATTTCTGTAAATCGGTTGAGGTAACATAAGATAGATAGTCCTGCAGTTGAAAAAATTTCAAGTTTGAGTTAATAACCTTATCAAACAATTTTTCATATGTAATTGAAAAGACCGTGATACTATCAATCGAGCATTAATAACTTAACCATTCTATCTGTGTCGACCCACTCATGCAAAATGTTGGTGTCCTATGACTATTTCGAATATTTTGCATTAAATACTTACCCCATAGCACTAAATACATGATCCCTACTTCACCAAATATTTTTTGGTCTAAACGACCTTTAAGTCTTTCATAACAATGGCGAGGAGCATGTTCCTCTTTAATTTTTTCAAAATCTATGAATGCGTTCTAGCATTTCCGAGCGAAAAAACTGATTTGCATGCGTTACCTTTTTTCTAGGAGCTTTAATTCACGAAAGTGGGGTGTTACAAATGTTAATACGCTTCTGTCAAACAGTGGACAAGTAGAAATTGAATTCTGAAAACGATAATCAAAATTGTCTTAATGTACATAACTTATTCAATAATTTCTTTTTCGTGAAATTTGGCAATCAAGTCCCATCTCTGCGACATCCGAAATCTTGAGATTTGGAAAACCGGTTTGAAATTGGGTTTTTGCAAATTTAAGTAACCCGATTATATGTTCTGTGAAAAACGGTTCCAAACCGTTTTTAAAGGCCCTGTATTAGTAAGAATTAAAAAAACTTTCTCAGTACAGTAATAAGCTATAATTTAATTTAAAATCAAATTTAAATATGAACTTGAGATTTTCGGGAATTTTAAATTTATGTATATCAGAAATTAAAAATATTAGACAGAAGATAAAGGTACAGTTTTTACAAAAATATAGACTTAACCAATCATGAAAATTCCGAACCGATTTACTAATTTTCACGCACGTTGGAACGCTTAAAATAATGACTGAAAGATATACGAAATAAGAAAAGTCCTTGGAAGTTTTTTTATCGGATAAAAAGCGATGCATTCTTAAAGTTAAAAACAAGGGCCGTCATATGGAACAAGTTTCGCCTTAGGAAAATATGCTTGTGGGGTAAAAAAATTATTAAACCCTTCCACGAATAAATGGGGCACCCTCTGTATTTGTGACGATAGCCGTAGATAAGAAATAAGCGACAGAAATCCGCTGTATCAATTTTAATAATTTTGCACATAAAAGGCCGGACCAGAATTTTACTCTCCAGGCCGGACCAAGGACAGATACGGCACTGATGGATTGGATTGGATAATCGGAGATCTGGATTGGATTGGATGGAATTTTGGTTGTGGAAAAATTATGAATTGTCGCTGTCTGACTTTCTGTTTAGAAATGATAACCACAACGTTATGTCATTCTTAATATTTTAAACTCTATTTATCTACTTAATGAATCAGTTAATCAGGAAAATTACAATTGTTTCGTAATTAATTACTTTTTAATTACAAAATCGCAGATGTATGTAAATGTATTGACCAAATTTATTTATAAGTAAGTTTAGATGATAACCTTTACTCTACCAAATTTTTCTGGAATAGGGTGCTGTCCTTGAATTACGTAACGAATGAAGGGGGAGGGGATGGTATCGTGGCTATGTACGCCATGAAAGGGGGGGAGTGTGGGAGTCACCAAAAACAATTTAAAGCGTTACGTAATATAAGAACGGTCCCTTGGTAATTAAAATCAATTACCAATTAGTCTGGAGGTTATAACTAATCTCAAAATTTGTACGGACAAACCAAATTTTGAATAGCAATTACACGTTAAATTCGTGGTTATATTTTCAAACGTGTGACTAAATAATCTAGGTCCAAACTGCAATTGTAGATTTTGTGACAAAAGGTTGCCACATTTTCCATGGAACATTGGAACAAAGTGTAAATGCATGAAATTCATGACGCGTGGAGGAGGAGCAGAAGAGAGAAACATAGACCGATTTCGTTCATATTATTATTCATGCACTAAACAGGGTTCCGTCTGCTCGATTTTTCAACAAAATAACTTACAAATCGTAAAAATTTCAATAACGTGCTTTGTCCCAGGATTCGCGATGGGTTTAACTACTGTCCAAGACGAACGTTAAAAAGTGGCTTTAACCGGTTTTGTGCACCAATTTAGTTTTGGGCGTCCAAAATGTCAAGAAGTGTCAAAAATACGGAATGGTTTATTAGATAACTTTGTTAAAATTTCTAATAAGAGAAAACGTTAAAACAAAAGGTTTTCCAAATTCGTGGTATGTATTAAATAAATAAAATGCTCAAAGTTATGTAATAAGAGATGCATATCTGTGCATAGATTTGTAAAAAAAAGTCGTTAATAAAGAATTTGTAACGGTTTGCCCCATTTTCCATGTGGATCGCTTTTTGGACATTTTTGTGTGGAGGCTAGTCCAAAAAGAGTTTGGGACTTCCAAAACGAAACACTGAACGTACCGAGAAAAAAAATAATTTACATAATTTTGAATTTACATAAATTGCATGTACATATTTGTATTTTACCTACTTTTCAATACAAATAAATGACGAGTGTTTTTTCTTCTTCTCTCATAGCATTTTTTTACCACTCGCACTCTGTGAAACCCTGTTCCTTGCATATTGGGTAACTTTGAGACAGCCGGGACGACTCGATCTCTCAGCCGTTCAAAAAGCAACAGAGAAAATTCCCGATGTAAACACAATTTACTTCATACTTATCTACATATTTCGCAAGATTGCAAATTATTCAATTCTACGGGAACAACGGGAAACTCTCTGTCCTAGTTTAAGGTAGGTTGTCCTCCTTATTGTTCAGTTCAACACCAATTAACTTGGTTTTATTGCTTTACAATTCATTCTTTGTCACCTAAATAAATAATTGTAAATTAAGGAAGATTTGAAAACTGGAGAAATAATTTTACCAGTTTGTTTCTCCAAATAATTAATTATTTGCTTCGTAAGTTGACAGTCCTCTCTTTTACAATTCTTAATTCGTTCCCCCAATTTTATTACAATATTTATGTATTTGACATGTATTTATTGTATTTTTTCTCATTTTATTTTCCCAGAAATGGAACCACCCACTCTAAAAAATCCATACGTCCGCCTCCATCGGGACCCTTCCATAAACAAATTTCCCCTTCCTCCCCCCACCCCCATCGAAAAGACCAATTTCTGCCTCATTTGCGGGGGACACTCTTCTTCTGTCGACGCCGGCGACGCCATCCTCAGCAGTCGCACCTTGAACGAATCTCTTATTTTAAAGGTGTCCTCACCTCCTCGCGACCCTTTCGAGCCACCTTGTCGCCCAGAAAATACAATAATTTCATGTCAAACACGTCCACGTGTGAGGATTGTTTCGCCCTCGTTCGCGACATTTGGAGGATGCACAGACGAATTATTTCTGCACAGAAGGAGCTCGACGCTTTAGTGGAGAAAGGCCGGGGCAGATTTATCCAGGCGGAGAAGAAAGTGAGGAGGAAATGTATGTAAATTTAATTGAAATTATGTATAATTATGCAAGAAATTAAAAATTGCGATTAATTAATAATTACAGGCAGCCGGATTGAATCGTTACACTCGCCAAACTCTAGCGACAATAATTCCGAAAAAGAAGTCGTAAAATCGGAAATACTTTATGACCAAGAAGATGGAAACCAAGCCAAAAGTACAACAAATCCTGTTTCCATTATTCAGCGAGAAAGAGAGAAACTCAGATTCTTGTGGTTATCCACCACCGTCGCCCTCAGGGGCGTATCCTCTGTACTTTATCTCTCTCTCACTATGTAAAAGTTGCATCTCACCAATTCTCAATTAATTAACCATTCAGGATTAATTAAATCTTGGCTTATCAAAACCATGATAACCCTTTAATTTTCGCAGAAGCTTTTAATTTGAGGCGAATTGAGTAAAATATTCGGTTATCTGAAAATAGATAAGAATGACCATAAATCTGTAACATTAATTTTGAAATAGAAATCGTCATTACAAATTAAGATAAGCTTAAATTTTCAAATTTAGTGTGATTTAGATAAACGAAATTTGCATATCTTGAAAATAGATATTAAATTGATAAGACCCGTAGCTCTAATTTCAACTGTGAATATATCATTATTATAAACTCTGACAAGCTGAAGATTTTAATTTGGAAAAATTTGGACGAACGAATTTTACTTATCTGAAAAATTGATAAGCCTCGAGATAAGCTTCTTAGTGTCCACTTTAGAGTGGATGTAATGTAACTATGTACAATTTCAAATTTAGAGCGATTTTGCAATTTAGTTTTAGATATTGCCAATTTTCATAACTTCGGTACTTCCATTTATATATCTCATTAGTGGCTTGTTACGGCTCTTGCCTTATAAATCACTCCCACAGAAACTTTGATCGCAAAAATCTCAATGTTGCAAAACTTTCTCTTCGGACAATAAAAGCTTTAAATGTTCGTTTTTTGAAGTAGACAAATCTGGCATTAGGTTGTCAGAAGAGAAAGTTTTGCAACACCGAGTTTTTTAATGATTTCCATGTAGGTTAAAATACCGCCAATTTTCGAATTTTGAAACTTTTGATGCACCAAAATGTCTGTATTCATGGGGGAATTCAAATCTCAAATACAAGTTGAGATCTAATTATTGTTGTACCGAGTGTATATTAGCTTTCTCATTTTCCCTAATTTGTCTTCTCAATTTTTGAAAGGGGGGTGGTTGAAGATAATTCAAAAATAGCTATGCTACAATTAAGCTTAATCCCGTATTTGTATTTACAATTTTTTTTTGTTTAATTCTGTGAAATCGATGCGAAATGGATGTGTACTTTTGGCTCGTCTTGCATCAGAAGACAACAGTGATTTCGAGGAAGTCATATTTCCCGAGGAAAATTCGCAAGAAAATTCTGAACCCGACGGAACGATCGAAGTCGAAATTTGTGAAACAATTGGGGACGATAATTATTCACAAAGTGCATCATCATCCAGTGACGAAGAACAAGATGATTCGCAATCCCTGTAAAAAATTTGCCAACTTTATATACATAATTGCACATTCCACATTTGCATATATTTTTTAACAGTGCAAATTTATGTTTTACTCCAGCAATAATTCCAGTGGTGACGACGAAGGTTCCGATTTCGCTTCCTCCTCCGATGAAGAATACGAAGGTGATACGAGAAGTGCAAAAAATCCGCGAAAAAAAAGTTTGCATAAAAGAAAACGTTCCCGTGGGAAATATTTATGCTCATCCTGCGGGAAAGAGCTGCAAAGTCGGAAGGCCCTGGTTGCCCATGAGCTCAGAGTTTGCCACGTGCCCGTCGAGAAGAGATCGGAGGACTCGGGGACTTCACACTGCACGAGTGCGCCACCTGCGGAGATAAGTTCCTCGACCAGAAAGATTTGACGAGGTACATATTTGCATATATGCGAATCCTATTAAATATGTAAATGATTTTTTCACCGTTTTATGCATACAATTTTCGCAGTTTTTTGCAAGAAATTTCTTTAAAATTTTCGGAAATTCCCTAAAACTTTGGAGCAGTTCCTATTTAGCAATGTTCCCAGAAATTTTCAAAAAAACTTGCAGGGTGTCCAACCTACCGGTCTGGACGTATATGTGAGTTTAGGCAAATATTGACCAAAAAAATATAATTAAATGCATTCCTCATTAAACTCTTACATACTTATTTTAACTAAATTGTCTCCCATTTTGCATTTCTTTAATACAATTTGTGAAAAATAGTCCTGCAAATTTCCATCTTTTTTGCAACTTTTCACTTTCCCTGTTATATCAGTGCAAATCCTATAAAATTTTCATCTCTTTTTTGCAAGTTGAATGTTCTTTATGCCGTTATTGAATGCAAAAATACCATGCATTATGTATTTTTCGGAACCTTTCCTCCACCACGTGCTAAATTTTATTTTACCCCATTTTCTTTCCAGGCATTATCTCACTCACTCCACCCTAAAAGCGGTGACCTGCCCGAAATGCGGGCGATCTTTCAAACACCCCGCCAACCTCGCCACCCATCGTAAATTGTCTTGTCAAGCGGTCCAAATTGACGCCGACGTGCGGAAAAGACGGCTCGACCGAGACGCCCTCCAGCGGTCCTCGTGCACCCAAAAGTGCCCCCACTGCCCCCGAAGGTTCCCCTCCGCCCCCAAACTGGCCGCCCACGTAAAAAAGGAACACCCCGAGGGAACCCAAGCCGTCGAAAAATTCGCCATCTGCGAAATCTGCGGCGCTTCCATATCCGCCAAGCGCGCCTCAAACATGAGCGAACACGTGAGTCGGGTCCACTTAAAAGTGGCGCGATCAACTTGTAACAAATGCGGGAAAGGATTTTTCAATAAGCTCGAATTAGCGAGTCATTTGAAAGTTGGGTGCGACAAGAAAGGCGCCGGAAAGCGGAAAAGAAAGCGACCACTCCCCCGAGTGGAAGGGGATGAGGAGGAAATGAATGCAGAATAATTTTGTGAGCATGCGCAGCACAATAAATAATTTGAGAATTATCACACAGTTTTTAGTCTTTTTCGAATAAATACTATACAAATAGAATTTTATACTCCAATGAATAAATGAGAAAATTATTGAGATTCCTTGCTGATTATATGTACTAATTTCTTGTAAGCTAATCATTTTCATCCACGTATAAACATAGATACGTTTAGAAATAAATAGTTGGAAATTTGGTTAAAATAGTAGCATGCTTACAATATTCATATTGCCATAGTTTTTTTACGTCTGCACAAATTAACTTTTATTTTCACACTCGTAAAATATTACAAACAAATCAATCTCATAGAGAAAATTTTTGTCACAAAATATTTATTATATTCGGAAAATATTATCGTTCAAATCACTAACTAAACTTTATTAATTGAAGGGTAGCAAATTAACTTAAATATATTCATATTATTTAAATAAGAATCTTATTATTACCATACTCACAATGCAAGTCTTTTACGTGTACAACTTGTACACGTAAAAGACTTGCATTGTGAGTACGTATGTATGCATGGAAAATACATAAGCAGTTACGCAATTGCATGCAAGGTACAAAGTGGTGGTGGTGGTATCAGGCTGCCTTTTAGTAACTTAACGACAGTGACACTCATTTCACAGCTGTTTACAGAAGTAATTGGGCATACACAATTTTTATATAGAATTTATTGAATTTCGAAAAAAATTGTAAAGAAGTTTGAATACATATTTAGTTTAAACATTCGCTCAAAATAATCTGTTTACCAGTATTACTATGTAGTAATATTACTTGTTACCAATTGGACATTTATTTATTACTAAGCCGTGAGTAACTAACTCGACGATAGAGTAAGAAATATTACTAGCGTGGTAATAAATTTCCTCTCAGTGGTGAAAAACTGTTATCATGACGGTAATATTTTTACTCTATAGATTAGTTATGCATTTACGGTCTGTTAATAAATATCCGATTGGCTACAAACTTATAACCGTGGCGATATATCGCCGCGTAATAATACTTGTTACCAATTGGATATTCCTTACTTGGCCGTGAATAACTCGTCTGTCTACATGTATAGGAAAAAATCTTACCAGCGTGGTAGCAAATTTATTACCAGTCAAAAAGAATTGTTCAAAAAGAAAAGTCAAAAAGAATTGTTCAAAAAGAAAAGTCAAAAAGAATTGTTCAAAAAGAAAAGTCAAAAAGAATTTTGAGTGTTCATTTTTTTCGCCGTTAACTGAAAATGCTGAAGGAGGACGTTTGTGAAGTAAGTTGTTAGTGGTCTAGTATATTTTTTTTGCATTTTTGTACCAATTAAATTACTCATGTCCAAATTTCTCTCAGGGAGGAAATTTAGCGACTTGTTACGATGACGGTGATGCAACTGCCAACCTGCCGTGTGGAGTCATTCCAGATGTAATTTTATTATGTCATAATTTTTACGTGTTAACAATTCATATGAACCAGGCGGATATTCACGACAACCATCTTGAATCTTACCAATTGAGATAAATTTTCAGTTTTGAGACTGACTAATATAAAATTCAGAGTAATCAATGGGATTATGTTTAGAAAATTTACCTAGCAAATGGACCTTATTACTTAAAAGTTTGCTAAATGAGATGCGGTGTTAAATAAGACATTGTCGTGAGTATGCTGCTTGCAGTATGTGTAGTATTCAGTTTGTTATTACCGTAAAAACTCCGGGGGTAAAAGCCGGGGGCTACTATTTACAAAATCGGTGTCTGGGGCCCGGCTACCATATGGGCAGGGTCACTATTTATAAAATGACGGAAAGATGCGCGGCTACTATTTGCACACAGCTATTGAATTTTGTTTCCAGAGTCAAGCTCAAATTAAATTTTTATAACGGCACCAATTTCTCCCCTAGAATCGCAGTCTATGACAATTCTATTGCTTAAACCTGCTCTCAATCAATTTCTTCTATGAGCAGAATTTCGTGTTCACATCGATTTTTTGTATGTAAGTGCGATTAAATTGAATAATATTATAAGCTGGAAATGTCTGTCTGCGACGGAAGTGAAAATAATGTTCCGTGACGGAAGTCAAAGTGGAGAAAGTTAAGTTTCGAATGGCGCGAAAATTCAAAATAAATTAAAAATTAAAAGTCAGTCATTTCCGTTTCTTACAGACATTTGCATCTTATAATTGTCCCTCGCCTGGCGGGAGACGGGCTTATACGCTAGTTGAATTATAATTGAATTACTTAAATGACCTGGCTAAGTAATTTGTGGTTAAGTCGATGCACGGCTATAATTCGAATAAGGCTACTATTTGGGCAGGGCTACAATTTGAGCAGGGCTACTATTTGGGCAAGGTCACTAATTATAAAATTATGAAAAAACGCAGGGCTACTATTTGTGCTTTTACGGTATTTTATACTTAGGATTAGTCATTTATTCACTTTGCAGGTTATTCCTCACCTCTGCAAATTTCTTGGGATCGAAGACATAAAAGTGTGTCGATTAGTCTGTAAATCGTGGAATTACGGCGCTACACCCGTTTTAAGGGCGAGGGCAGTGATACAAATTACACTCTATTCTAAAATTTATGAGAATTTTGCCTCACGTCAAGAGGTCGAGGGGAGGTGGGTTGAGATGTGTGAAAGGCTGAAGTTCTGCCCGATCAAGATTCGCCTATGTAACCCATATCGATATTCCATTACCAGCATTCCCCCTATCGACCTCGAAACTTTCCCACCGGTCAAAAAGCTGAAATATATTAGGACCGACTTACGAAATGGAAAAGATTGGCAAACGGAGCAGTGGCAGACGGACTTGTGCCACAAAATTATTCTCGATTCGTCCACTACTTTGGAAAAATTATGGTTTATCTGGGACTCGGATGAAGATTTCCCTTCGTTTGGGGGCTACACCTTTGCAAAATTGAAGAAACTGAGGATATTTGATCGACAGGGGTGTCGAAATCAATCCCGTGAAAGAATTGGTCAAGCTCTTACGGAAGCGTTCCCAGGATTAGAAAGTCTCCATATGAAGGGGAAAAATTTATATGAAATCTCAAAGATGAATATCTTACCAAAATTTCCACTGTAAGTTTTGACGAATGGTTGAATAATTGATTTTGGGAAATTAACTTTGGCTGTGACAATCTCCCTGGAGGTCATTTTTAAGAATTTTAGACCAGTTGCTAAGAAATGGTGCATTATTTGGAGGAATAATTTCCTGGAATTTACATATTTTACAGTGCAGACTCCATTTAGCCCGAGTCAGACTTATAAGGGAAGGTCCCCGACTGCTCCCCGAGTTCAGGGTACTCACTATGTTTTTTAGAATCTACTAGGACCCTAGATGAAGGGTCCATGGATATTCACGTGCAAAAGTCGTATTTGGCGCCGTGGCGTGGCGCCACATTTGCCAAATTTGACTGTTTTTAATTTTAAAAGCGCCATAACTTTTGAAATCCTGGACGGATTTTCATAATTTTTTACGAAAATCATCACAAAGGGTTCAAAATTCGATTTCCATGATTTTCTTTCAAAAAACGGAAATTTTCAAACTTTTGCAAAATTTCCTAATTTTCTTAAACACATGGGTTCGCTGAAAAAAACCTTAAAAATATTTCAAAAGTTAAGATTTTTTAATTTTGGACTTTTTTCTTCAAATTTCGACTTTTGTGCTAATTTTGAGCCCAAGATTTTGAAAATCCCACGGAAACTGAAAAAGTTATGGAGGTTTGAAATTTGTCGCAAATTCAGATTTTTAAGTTTGGCGCCACGCCACGGGGCCAAACTTTACTTTTGCACGTAAATATGCATGTATCCTTCATCTAGGGTCCCAGTAGAGTCTAAAAAACATAGTGGGTACCCCGAACTCGGGGAACAATCGGGGACCTTCCCTTGTTAGACCTTGACCAAATCTCTTCTAACATGACCCCCACCGGTCACCCACTTAACCGATTTTTCCCACCTTCGAACTCGATTCCTAGCTTTGTATAATATGCATAATATGCATATTATATGGTAAAAATTTACAAGCCAATTGGATCTGCCGTTTTGGCTCTATCGTATTTACGGACGGACGGATAGGACAGTCCCATAAGCCCTGACTAATTCAAGGATATTATTGCTCCAAATAATGCACTCATTTCTTAGCTCAAACGGCTCAAAAAGTCTTAAAACTGACGACCAGGGATATTGTTTTACATACTACCAATGGGCAGAATTGTTAACTATGTAATTTTTAGATCACTTACTTCCTTGTGGCTGACGGGATATTTCAACACCAATGGGATGGAATGCCTCCTACAAATCCCTGCACCATTAAAGAAACTGGTGTTTCATTTAATTTCCTTGGAGGGCAATGACGATCGAGTTGACGAGTTGGACACAATTTTTTATAAATTGCTACACAAACATTCCCCCAGTCTGGAAAAGCTTTCCGTGGACATACGCTGGACTTTATTCCGAGCAGACTTAGAATGGAAAGTGCCAACATTTCCGGCCTTGAAGAGCTTGAAGATCTTGGGGAGTGATTTGTTTGAAAATCTTGAGTTTGAAGTTGGCCCCGGGTCAGGAAATTTTGGGCGGATTGATTACAAAGCGTGTTTCCCTGTCTTGGAAAAACTGCATGTTTCCAACCGACTCGATGATTTTTCCTCCGTGGCTGCATTTCTGCCGGAGGATCGATCCGCCGTCGTGGAGTCGGTGAAAGATGTGAATCTAAATTTTTTGGGAGATCGTTTCACAAATGTTGACATATTAGCGCAGACTGAGCTTTATACGCGATTGTTGGACATTTTTCCAAATGCGAGGGATTCGGTAAGGACATATCTGAGGGGATTGTACATTTGTAAGAAAATTTTATGCAAACTTTTGTATTTAAATTTTCAGATAGGAATCCTATCACGGAAATTGGAAAATTGAACAGATCTTCTCCACACATATTTATGTATGTATGCAATTTGTTATGGATAGGTAATAATTATTAACACTAATTAACTCATTAACTATGCACATAATAATTTAATATATTTCTGAATTAAATTTGACAAACATGCAACGGTGTCAATTATACTTGTCTACTTCTTCCTTTTACAAATAGATTATTACTTCATAATATTTTAACACGTTCAAATTGTTTAATTGTAATCCTTGTTTGTAAATCGACATGTATTGGAACAATAGGGCTATACAATATTTATAACACGTGCATACATACATAGAAATCAATAAAATTGCTTTACTAATGTTCAATTCATCTCGTGCCAAAACAGTTTTAATGTTGGAGTTAATAATATTCGCACACTCAAAATAATTCTATTACGAATTCCATCGTTAGGCAATTTTTTCGACAATAAATGTACAAATTTGTCCTAAAATATGGCAAATTCTGACCATGGGACAAATTGCCTAAAGAAACGTTGGATGTATTGACATGGATTACGTAATTTCAATATTTCAGCCAAATCGGACGGTTACACTTTACACCATCGCATTGTAAGGAGTCCAATCCTGGTTATCAGATTGCCATTTTCTAAAATACAATCCATCCAAATCCAACTCATATTAGCCTAAAAAGGTCATTCATTCAGATTAAAAATATTAAAAATATAAAATTGTAAAATTCATTCAAATCCAATTAATTTTATACTAAAAAATCCAATCCATCCAAATCCAGTTGGATAGGATAGGACGATGGATAATCCAAACAAATAGATATCCAACTCACCCTTGTTGGCTATTTCTCCAAAGTGTGCATTTTAGAAGAGTGACTAACGAGTCGATAAAACGCGAAAAATTTCTTCCCACAGAAGTAACACTCGTTTTCCTTCGTCCCGTCGTGTATACGTTTCACGTGTCGAGTCAAGCTCGTCTTGACGCACGTTTTGTACTCGCATTTATCACAATAATAAATCGGCCTCTCACTCGTCGCGTGATAAGACCGCATGTGATATCTCAAACCCTCTCGAGTCGTTACTTGCTTATCACAAATGACACACTGATAAGTGGAAGTCGCCCGGTGTCCATGCGAACTCCAAGTGTGATTCTGCCTTCCAATCTTGGCCAAGAAGGTCAGAGGGCAAAAGTCACATTTATAAACTTCTTGGGCCGATTTCGTTTCATGAATTCGCTGAAACGAGAACAACACTTTTTTAATAAACTGAATAATTAAAATACTTACAATACGACGGTGTGAAGTGTAACCCTCGGATTTTGTTGAAATTTGGAAATTATGCAGTCCAAGTAAATGTATCTAACCTTTCTTGAGCAGTTTGTGCGAAAGTTGGCTTTGGTCAAAGCATTGGAGGTTAAAGTTGAAAAATGTGCAATTTTTAGCACGGGAGGAAAACGAAAGTTGAGTTTGCTTCCTCCTCCGCTTGGTAGAAATTTTTGCAACTTTAGCCTGAAATATTTTGCCAAATTCTTACTATCGCATAAACTGCCTGAAGGTGGTTGATTGTATTGACATGGACCACATCATTTCAAAATTTCAACCAAATCGGAGGGTTACACTTCACACCATCGCAATGTTAGACAAATTAAAATTCAATGAATTAAATTAATTGGTTACCTGGTGCAGCTTGAAAATATCGCCATTTCCGAAGCTCTTCCCACAGATTGGGCATTTGTAGGCTTTTTCCTTGGTGTGGGTGGAAATGGATTGACAGACAGTTTGGCGAAAGCCGATTTGGCGAAAATAAATTTTCGCCAAAGAGGTAAAAAAATTACGATGAAAATCCCGAATGGCGAAATTTTTGTCACATATGGCGAAAATGAAAAACTCGGAAAAGCACATTTGGCGAAATATAAATTTCGCAATTTATTCATGTCAAACCCTTTAAAATTAACACAATTGCATCAAATTATTAGATAATTCAAATTTCAGCAAATTAGGACTTATTTATAGTCTGGAGCACTTCTGGTAAGCTTGGATAACCAAGTTACAAATTTTTTATGACTAGCTCGAGTTATATACACAGAATCTGTATTACAGATCCAGGTATCCAATTTTGCCAATCTCTGCAACATGTATGACGAGCAACTAGCTAACATTTTCTACGGTTGAGAAAATAAAAATTCCACTATCTTCCATCTCCTTCATCAAAGATTTATATCCCCTTAGTATTGAACGCAGTATGATTGGCAGATCTAGTTCATTAGTTGCTGTGGGATAATTAAACCTTATTTAACTCATCCTATTGCCATAAAAGCATTTTCTCAGCTACTGAACTCGATAAATTCAGACGTGATTTTTTTTGGGCTGGGGTAGGTGACTGACGGTAAAAACACAATTGAGGAGCTAAGAAGAAGATTAAAATAATCCAGCGATAACGTGTTAATTCAAATACATTAACATATGAAAATCAAGAAAAAATGTAAATTCTTGTAGTATTATCCTTATGATGTAACATACTCATAAAATCTTCAGTTTCGCCAAATGTGACATTTTTTTCGCCAAAAGGTACTTTGAAACCGTTGTTCTAAGAATGCCGTAAAGTGGGTGAAATTTTTTTTCGCCAAACGGGATTTTTATTTGGCGAATTTTTTTCGCCAAAAGGGTTTTCGCCAAACTGTCCGCCTTCCTGGAAATGTGTCGGGGGAGATGGTTTCTTTGTTTAAATTCCCTGAGACAAAGGGGACACGGAAATCGGACAGGATTTTCTGCATGTTCCATAGAAAAGTGTTTTGGGGCCGTCCATAAATTACGTAACGCAAAAATCATCATTTTTTGGACCCCCCCTCCCCCCTCGTAACGGCATCGTAACGCTTCTCGACTACCCCCCTCCCCCTTCGTAACGTAACGTAAATTTGATTTCACCGCAGGTAATTTCTTTAACAGTAACTTGCAAAATTTTCATTTGCTCCAGGTTGTGTAGACAAATGTCGCTTTTATTGCTTCTATTTCTTTTAAATTGCTAGATAAATTAGAATTTTGTGAATTTCTTGTTCAAGAACAACCGAAATCATATTCGACAAGAAATGGAAATTGTAAATCTTACAGGTCTCTCAACGTTTACCAAGACTCACAATGGAACCTTTTGTCAAGTTGCACCCGGAAAACTATCGTACGACCATTAATACATATGTAGATGAGTACAATTCTTGACAACCATCATACCTCCTAAGTGACCTCGTTGGGGCTCAGGTGATCGGCAAATTCCGATCAAATTCTCATCTTAAAGGTAAGGCTCAATTAATCGTGAAACTTACGTCACTACTAAATCATTATGCACAAAATTTGGTGCAGGTTTATGCACAATTTGACAAAGAAATCATGCCGACCAACTTATGCAGAAAATTATAAGCATAATTATGCATAGAACTTATGTCGAGTTTATTATGCAGAAATATGTACCCATAATTATACACGTGTCTCATAGCGCGTAACTCGAATTGAGACGGCATGGGTTTATTCATTTCATTGAATGATTTCGCATTTCACTTTTAAATCCCTCTTTTATCCAAACTTTTCGATATTTTCATAGCAAATTTAAAAAAAAGATCAGTTATTTCTTAGTCGAGTGGGTTAATAAACTTAATACGGTGCGAGAACTGGGTTGACGGAACATTAAGATAAGATCCAAGAGAAAAAACCTCATTGGAAGGCAGCAGAATAACTCGCAGTCTGCGCCGCAGATGCAGTGATTACCAAGATAAGTCCCACATTTAATATTTTCTGTAAGCCACTAATCAACAAAATCTACATTTTTCGAACTTGTATGTAGATTGCGTGTTAAAAAGGGACGAGTTGAAAATCCTCCAGATAACTGCACCAGAGCCGATGCTAAATTGTGAAGCAAGAAGACACTATCCGAGAAGTATCGCAAGTCACGCCGTGGGACTGGTGTTAATATTATTTAAAACAATTATATACTTATATTTATTACAAGTAAAAATAAATATGAATTTTAATTGTACTTGATGAATTGTAATTTATACATCAATTAGGACATGATTTAAAATGCATTAATTGTCTGCATAAACCCGTCACAATAAATTGTGCATAAACCCTTCAACATAAATTATGCATAATATATTCTGCATAAAATAGATATGCATAAACAGTTCTGCACAAAATTGGGCCAATTTTAGGCACATTTTTTCTGCAGGATTCGGCTTAACATTTCCTGCATAAAATCGCCAAAAATTTCAACCAGGGTACACTTTAGTAACACACATTTTTCTACACGGAATTGAGTGATTGGGGTGTTCAGTCATTCCAAAATTCTATGTATGGTGGATGAATGAAATATTGATTTGTTGAGATAATTAGATAAATATTGTTGGAAAAAGTGGTTAAAATGAGGGATTCTATTATTTAATGGATACTCCAAGTAATGCTCCACACAAGAGACTTGTGACAAGACTGATAATATTTAAGACTGACCCCAACGAATCAGGTAAAAGGTTCGTCTGGAATCTGGGCTGGCTCCCCGAGCTTTTACAACCTTCAATCAGGGCAAACATTTCAGAGGAAATAGACCCCTTTTGTATAATTTTACACACTCAAAATAAGGTAGTAATGGATCGCTACCATGCTGAATGACTATGTGGCTCTACCACGTCGGTTACAATTTGTCGTCGAAATGGTAATAATAATTTCAGGGAAATTCAAATTCATTACCAAATATTAAGGAAGTGAATATGTACCATTATGTATTAAATTTGAATTTCCCTGAACTTATTATTACCGTTCCTGCGACAAATCGTAACCGACGTGGTAGAGCCACATACATAGTCCGACCATAAGTTCCCGTGAATGCATTTCCGGTGATAAAGCCCAAAGTATTAGAGCTATCTGATAGAAATTTTTGTGGATGAACAAGGTATTAATCTTGTTTAGAAATCATAACTTCGTTTTCACAATTTCCTCCACGGGCTTGTACACAAGACATAAGTCGTGGCGAAAACTGCTCGATCGCGGCACGCACGGATTTCCAGGGAAAAGCGCCAGATCTTCAGTAAGTGCGACCTCAGCCCTTCCACACTTGGGTGAAATTTAGAGCATACTTGTACCTATAATTTTGACCACCAGTCATAATTTAGGGGATTAAGGTCTGCAGATACAGAGCACCGTTCTACGGATGAAAAAAAGTCATGAAAATTCGTCTGAAGCCAGTTTTGGACAATTTTGCACCTTGCGCATGAGCAGAGTCTTTTTGAAAGGTCCAATGGCGATTTTCGGAGGGTCCAGGGTTCAGGTTATTAACGTTTGTCTCTAGGACACTCTGAAAATAATTCTTGGCTTCAACTTGTACCCTTTGCGATAAAAAACAGAGATTTCATTTCTCCAGCCAACTTGCTCCCATGCACACCACGGTGATGACTTCGTATTGACTTCCGCATACTTAAACGGATGTCAGACTTCTGTACAACAAATATCTGGCCTTTTTTTCTATTAAATTTTTTGCCAACGGTGAAAAGTCTGAAATACTTTTGGCACGAAAATTGGCGCGTACCACGATCAACCTGTGGCCGTCACGAGTTATGTCTTGTCTAATTGCCCGTGGACGAAATCTTGACAAAGAAGTTATGATTTCTAAACAATATTAATAGCTTCTTAATCCATAAAAATTTCGAACAGATAGCTCTAATACTTTGGGATTTATTACCGGAAATGCATTCACGAGAACTTATGACCCCACTATGTAGTCATCCGCATGGTAATGATTCATTACTATCTGATTCTGAGTGCAGAAAATGGTACTTGGGTTTGGTTTGCCTGGTTTAAGTATTTCTATTTTTACAAAATAAGTATGGATCGGTTTACCGGCTCAATATTTAATAAACTATGAAAAAATTGGGTTATATGAATAGAGGGCGGATATATTTATGTACGTAAATTCCGAAAAATATGTGTGTAATGTGTGCTTAAAAAACCTGAAAATGTGCAAATGAAAAATGTTGTTCAACTTAAATTTTCTACTAAACCACGTATTTATGAAATATAATTTTAAGGAAACTTTAACTTATGAGTGAACGAAGAAAAATATTTTTAATTAAACCGCTTCGAAATGTCTACTAAAATTTTATTTTTGGCAAAATACGTGAAATATACAGGAAAATATGTATATGTACGAAAAATCCTCAAAATATGTATGAAGATATGTAATACGTACGAGAACCCTAAAATATGTCAAAGATGGAAACCCATTTATGTTTGAATTTTTGCGATCGTGCTTAGATAGGAGGTCTGTACACCTTTGAGGAGGTTATAAATTTGTCATCGACAATTGTCACCAACTAGTTATAAAGTTTCACCTACTTGGTATTAAATTGTCACCAGAGCAGGCCCCGATTTAGGGGCGGGCAACCCGGGCAGCTGCCCGGGGCGCCAAACTCCTGGGGGGCGCCGGTAGGCGCCCGGGTTTACACTAGATATAATTGAATGTTCCTGTTATAAATTTTGAAAATCTTTTTGTTGGGGTTTTTATTTTTGTCAAGTTTGGGCAATTCATTGCAATTCTGATGTGTTGATGCACCACTGCAATTTCAGAAATGTGCAGTCTCTAAATTTTCAAACATCCTCTAAATAAAGGTATACAAGTAAACCTACTCAAGGTTGAGTAATATAGAGCACGAAACGATAATTGGGTAAAATTTATTTCATGGTTGTGAAAAATTATTCAACCGTTAACTTCATGATTGAATAAATTTCACCCAATTGTTGTGTTAACCTATTTTTCTCAAAAGGTAAATTCTCTCAAACTTAAATTTAATATAATATGCCTGGCAATACATTTAGAGTTTACGCTGAGGAGCAAAATAAATTGTATGATTGTATTGAAAACTGTTCAATCTCGCATTGGTTGCATTGCATCTTGAAAGTTGGCATGATTGTAGCCCAGAAAAATTGTGGCTGTATGTATATCATTCCGATTTTTGAAAAATAGCAAAGAGAACTCATTACCTTGGTCTTTTACAAGTAAAACTCAAATCCCCATGCGACTAATTTGATATTATTTACCACAAAAATGAGAATTGCCGCACTTTTGCGTTGTTCATAATGCGCTACTTTGAGCGCTTGCCGCGAATTGTGAACTGTTTTCGAGGCGAAACCTGAGTTTTGTAAATTGTCCAATTTTAGCGCGAATCCAAAAGTTAGAAGAAATGCTTCACGAAATGTTTTCGAATTTTTGGATTTGCGTTGAACTTACAAAATTTGCAGAATTTTAAAAACCGAGGTTTGGCTGGAAAATAACTTAAAATTCGCGCTCAAATAGGCGTGTTACGAAAAATAAAAAATACGGGGACGCATTTATTTTTTGTGTTGAACAAAATAAAATTGGTCCTATGGAGACCTGGGTTTTACACGTAGTCTGGTTCAAGTGCCGGGGGATTGGAACTTAGTACCTGGGAAACGTCACCCAAAAGTTCCGATCCCCTGGACATTTTAGTTATGCAAGTTACAGGGAAACGGAACCTTCTTGTCGCAGGATTTAGCGGGTGTCGATGCCCCGGTACCCTATTACACAAAAGTTCCGATTCCCCGGAACCCAAGATTTTTCTTTCATTTTTCCTAAAGTGGATAAATTTCCGCAGAAATTTTGGATTATCTCAAATTAACCTCCCACCAATGAAGAACATTGGATAAAAAAGTCAGAATTTTTTAAAGTGGCGTTTTTCCTAAAATCACAAATATCTGACAAATTTGAGGAGCTGCAAGCTTAAAAAGGTCCGGGGTATCGTCACCCAAAAATTATTTGTATATGAAAATCATTGTTGGGTGACGATTCTCCGGACCTTTTTAAGCTTGCCGCTCCTCAAATTTGTCAGATATTTGTGATTTTAGGAAAAACGCCACTATAACAAATTCTAATTTTTTTATCCAATGTTCTTCATTGGTGGGTGGTTAATTTGAGATAATACAAAATTTCTGCGGAAATTTATCCACTTTAGGAAAAATGAAAGAAAAATCTTGGGTTCCGGGGAATCGGAACTTTTGTGTAAGAGGGTACCGGGGAATCGACACCTGCTAAATCCTGCGACAAGAAGGTTCCGTTTCCCTGTAACTTGCATAACTAAAATGTCCAGGGGATCGGAACTTTTGGGTGACGTTTCTCAGGTACTAAGTTCCAATCCCCGGGCACTTGAACCAGACTGACGTAAGCAAGTTTTTTTAACCTTTTAAATCGTGTGTATAATGAAATAACCAAGGCGTTACCACGGGAGATTTACTGTCCTAATTGGGTTATGATTCGGGAGTCATTTTCCAAAGAGAAAATCTAGTTTCGTGAAGGGAGGGACGCTAAATAGACGGTTACTGTGGGAAGGGTTTTTTGAGTATTTTATAATAAATTTTTGTTCATTTAAATCTTTTGCAATGTGATGGTAAATAGAAATTCAACACGTCCACAATTTTGTATTCGAGTGTTTTTTTGTGCAAATTTGATCAAATAAGTAGTAATTATTTTATGATGTAAAATATTATTATGGGTTATGAAGAGCGAAAAAAATATTTCTAACGAGGTTTATTGACCTCCTCCCGCAGTGGAGAAAAAATTTGGATGGAGGCTAAAAGACATCCTCCCGCACCATAGCTACAAATTCGTGGAGGTTTATTGACCTCCTCCCGCAGTAAGCCCGAACATTTTAGGAGGCTAAAAGACTTCCTCCCGCAGCAACGCAATGTTTTCAAGGAGGCCAAAAAGCCTCCATACGTTTTAAAAGGTTAAAGAAATCTTTCCAATTGCGGCATCCGTCTTAAATAGAGTTTGTCCCCAATTTAAGCAATAATCACGAATAAATATCTAATAGAACCTAATAGGTATCTAAAAAGGCAAAATTTAATTTCACCTACGTTATTTAAATCTTCGGAATCAGCGTGCTAAAATTTCTAAAGTTTTAAATTTTCAAAATTTAGACTAAGAATTTTTAAGCGGTGTAACTTCTTGCCGCCCTCTCACGTTTTTGTCGAATTTTTGGGTGGGGGTGGGGGTGGAATTATAAATGCCAAATGAAATACAAAAATCGGGCAGTGGCAAAATATGAGTTATAAAATAAATTTTTGAAATTGTTTACAGTGATATTTTATGTAATTTTCGTGACGATTTTGAGTCAAAAATCAAGATTAGGAAACTTAGTCAAAAATTTGCACATTTTGACATGCACATATCTCGAAAATTTGCTAAGCCGCCTCCAGATAATACCTGTATTACGGAATATTGATCTGCTCAATATGACGAAAATTTTAAGCATTTTATACATTAAAGCTATGGGAGGTCAAAAGTTTGCTATCTCATTGTATACGTCCATACTAATGAGGCCTGGGTAGGAATAATTTGCACAAATATTTTTAATTGAGAAAAAGGCCATATGCGAGCGCCGAAGGCGGGAGCGGCTTGGGGCGCCAAATTTCTTTGCCCAGGTAAGATTTTGGGCTAGATCGGGGCCTGCACCAGAGGTAATACATTTCTAACCAGTTGGTAACAAATTCATAACCGGAGGTAGAGTCATATACGTTTACTTTTTGGTTATAATCGTAACCCCATTTCTAAGAGTGTAAGACCCCTCCCATGCTTTGAGTATTTACAGTGAGCGTTGCTATTTATGTAGATTACTTGAACATATTTCCAAATATGTACATATTTATATATGGGAAAGATTTGTTTCTGAGAAAGAGATAAAAAGGTTCTTAATTAGGGACAAAGTTAATGCTATCTAGGAAAGGTTCCAGCGCGACCCTGGTGGCACAGGAAGTAAGCATGGTCGAGTAGTATGTAAATATTAAATATGTACCAAGGAGAGGTTTATAAATTAAAGGCAGAGTAAGTATCAGTCACAGTTATATAAGGCGTTTATATTGTTGACTAAAAAATATGACGAGTAGGAGATAATCAGTGGTGGGAGATATTCACGGGTAGGATATCATGGGTAGGCGTTCATGGGCAGGAGTTAATCACGGGTAGCCATTCGCGGGTAGGAGATAATCACGGGTAGGATATTACGGGTAGGCATTCACGGGTAGGAGCTAATCACCAGACGTCGGATATGAATGACCGATAAAACCTCAAAATATGGATGAAAAATGACCGTAAAAATCCCCAAAATATGACCATAAAAATGAGTTTATTTTGTTAATTTTTTGATTTGTTTTAAAGATATTTTCTTGTGATACCCAATTTTTATCAATAAAACAAGTTCTGGGGTAATTTATAATGCATTGGGAATGAATTAAATCACCTCAGGCGATAGTGAGTGTAAATTTCTGCAAGTTTCTTACGATGAATCATAGTGAAAAAACTGAATTTTTTGTCATTTTCTGTCAATTTGGTTGCAAAATCTTAGAATTTGGTGAAAAATCACAAAATGAACGAAAAATGCCCGAAATATGATCGGGAATATGAATATGTCCCAAAACCCGGAAATATGACCAATAAGAGAAAATATGCTTTGACCTACGTGACCTACTAGTGACCGTAAACATTCTCAGAATGTTTGGTGGCTGTAGGTCAATAAATGGAAAAAGTCATTTTTCATTCATATCCGACGTATGCTAATCACGGGTAGGAAATCGTAGATAGCATTCACGGGTAGGGAATAATTGCGGGTAGAAGATAATGTTCATTGGTAGGTAGTCATTATCAGGAGTCTTACGCACACCACATCACTTGTACATACATATTTCCAAACATTTACACATGCAAAAAATGGAAGGGATCGATACTTCCACTTATAATCACCATAAGGGGCTGCTTTCGGGTTGCATTTATTTATATATTCTTTGTGCACCCTAGCTGTATAAATAATGAGACCCTTTTCACCTACTTTTAACGGCTACTCCATGAATAATCCAGCCAGTCAGTTCCTTGACACGAGGAAAGAGAGAAACAACAAGGTTTTAAAATCTGTTTGAAAAAAACTCACAAATTTGCAGTAAGTATGGAATGGATTGCAAGCAACTCTGACCAGGTAAATTAGTAGTGCAAGAAAAATTATTGGCCTACATAAATATTTATGTATTTATGTAAATATTTATATATTTATGTATTTAAGTTTTTTTGTGCTCGTAAATCTGAAAACATTTCCGTAGAGTTTTGAGGAAATAAGTGAGGTGAAATCCAGAGTATAAAAATGTTCACTGTTTTATGGTGAAAATTTACAACACCAAATAATAAAAAAGTAATATTTAGAGCTAAAATATCTAGCTTATGCTCTTAACAAAACACCGTATCAAGACATACATATGTGCTTGAAGCACAGTCCTTCTATCTAGTGGTAATGAATAATCTGGTAATTAATTAATACTGCGTTGTTTAAATTTGATACGATTTAGTATTAGAATTATTACTACAAACAAACCATTGTTTTAATACCATTAAGTGGTGTAACCGTTTAATACCAACGCGGAGTCACGTATCAATACCGCTCATGTTTCGTAATCATCCAGTTTTTAAATATCTAAGGTCAAATCCGTATCTTGTAGAGTAATAACGTCCGCATATTGTAAAAAAATTTGTATTGTACTGTTAATGAACAAATTTTTGTTACCACATAAAAAATAACTCGAATGTATGTAACCATGGTTCCTTAATCTAAAACATTAACAAAACTTAATTTTATGGTTGCACAGATGGAAGAAGTTCGCTTGGGAATGGAAGGTATGGATAAATATTTTTTTCAATTTGGATTTTTATGATGCACAGAAATTTTAGAGAATCGCTAACAAGTTCGGTACCATTAAATCGCCCTGCCACATTAAATATTTATTTATTTGTTCCGAATTTTACTTTGATTAGCTTGCTAATAAAATTTTATGCTAAAATTAGACGGAGAGGAGAGCCATGGCACCACTGGGGAAGAACTGCAGGGCATAATTAATCCACCTGGGTATCAAGTTTCTCCTAAAGCAGACACCCTGTTAACCATCCTTCAGGTATATTCTCATATATTTGACCTACATAGGGCACCGTCCAAGAATTACGTACCGCAAAATGTGGGCAATATATGTTGGTCGGAATGCGACGAGTGTGCAAAAATATGGAGAAGTGTAGCCCAGGAATCGAACCCGGGACCTCTCGCTATCCTTGCGAGCACCTTAACCACTGAGCTATCACCGCTCTTTATAAGTATCTATGCCACCACGTGTTCAAACGAACATATCCCACTTTATGTGATGTTCTCACACAAAGAATCGCAATTTTCTAGACCCCCCCCCCCGCCCTCCCCGGTTTAACATGCGTGACATGTAAATATAAACCCGATGTCACTGAAGCCTTAGACCCCCTCTCTCACGTTACGTAATTTATGGACGGCCCTTAGGCCAGGATCTGGGTGAAAACAATTAATTGTCGATCTTGTAAATATTGCAGCGATTACCAATCATGTGGCAAGGATTGTTAGGTGAGAAAAAAAAACTACAATTTTATCAGATTTTTTTCATTTTTAAAAGTACCGAATTACTTATTGCGCAGCCGTAAAGAACAACACTGCCGCGAGTCAAATGCACTTTTTATCCGGTGCCCAGGACGTCGCGAGAGAAGCGTTGGCTTCAAATCCGGACGGGACAATTCCTCCGTTAAAAATTACGGAGAAGATGCAACTAGAGGAAGCGCACTTGATGGAACTCGCAGCAAGGATGCAGGTAAGTATGTACACGAATTGCCTTGTTTATTACTCACCTGGTATTAAGTAAATAATTTCCCTACACAAAATGGAGGTCTCCCAACGTATGCTCACAGATTTGGACCAAAGTAGCGTCAATCGATCACAAATTTTATTAGTATGAAATTTTCAAATGGGACAATTTGCCAATGCTCAGGTTTAGCGGAGATATTTGCATAAAAAGAGGAGAAAATGAAACCCTGGCTGACAAATTTTTCATTTTCCAAATTTGCTACACATTTTTCCCGCCTTGGATGCAAATATCTCCGCCACACCTGCCCATTGGCAGATAGTTCCATTTGCAAATTTCATACTAATTATATTTGTGATCGATTGACGCTAATGTGGTCCAAATCTGTGGGCATACGTTGAGAAACCTCCATTGTATGTACATGCAATTTACAGATGCCGCGTGAACACTGCGTCCTTTTAGCGTTGCCGTGTGGTCGCGACCGGGAGGATGTTCTCCGACAGAGCAACAACCTCAGACGTGAATTTATTACCTACTTTCGGTTAAAGGAAGCGGCTGGAATTGCAAATATTCCTTGTCCACTAACCGGACTAACAAAATTCGTCATTCACCTGATCCCAGCTGATTGCGGTTTCGTGAGAGAGTTTTTGAGAACAAAGGCTCCTGAGCTGCTTCAAGCGGTGAGGGAAATTCCATATCTACTCGTTGTCATTGCGAGATCTTAATAAGAGGAGGCCACGAACAGTTTGTGGCAAAAATAGCTGGACTGTTTTTTAGTAGTTATATTTGTAAATATGTATGGTCCATGATCTTACCGTTTAAGTAATTGATAAAGTTTGGTTTAAATAAAATAAAAATCTATGCTATCAAAAATCGGTGTGTGTGATGTTAAAAATGCGTACGCAAAATTACTGGATTGTAATATTTTTATGGGTTTAATAACATACCCACCAAAGATTCGATAAAGTGCACCAAAATGCAAAAAAAATTAACTGCTCATAACATAGATAGTAACGTTACCAGTTTTATATTTTGGAGATATGTTACATGACATTTCTTCACCCCTATTAATTGTTCCATCCACATTTACTCGAAGTTTCGACATTTTCCATGCTGACTGATTGCATTTCACAAGTTATAAATTGTACATTTCTTCTGTGTCATAATAAAAAAGCGCTAATTGGATTTTACAGCATGCACCGCATACGCCACAGGGATAAATAAATCGTTCCAGTGCCACACGTTAAGGAGAGGGTTATACAGGCTGCCTCGAACCTCCCTTATCTCACACTTGTCTAAACATAAATATTGAATTCTATTAGTTTCAAAGACCAAATAGGAATTAAATTAGATGCCTTACTTTCTCTGAGCATTGCTAGGGTATCATTCAAATCTATTAATTTATCGTAGTTATGCGTTCCCACTGGAAAGATTCGAAGCACGTGCTCCATCAAAAGAATCAAAGTCATCCAAGAAAATACGGATTTTCCCGGAGTAGACAAATATATCGATCCACCTGGCTAAAACACCAAATTATGTAATTCCATGCAAAGCAATTACATTTATTAAGGGGTGTAAGCCCTTTATAAGATCGATACGTCCGTCTGTCTGTCTGTCTGTCTCTCTGTCCGTTGAACCATAACTTTTGAACGAAAATACATATAGACTTGAAATTTTTAAATTCAACACCTAATGTGAATGGACTGGAAGAGTACGAAGATGGACACTGTAGGTCACACCCTTCAAGGTCACAAGGTCATGAAATGTCATTTCAACGTCAAATTGTATATATACATACATAAACCAATTTGAACTGAAATTTAACCCCGAATTCAATTGTGACCTCCATTTTGACCTCAAAGGTCCCGTAAGGTCGCAGAAAGTCATCAACTGTTAAATTTGATACATTTCACAATGCTGGAAACACGTCAGACATCTCAATTCTAACAGATTTTGAACAGGATTGTGTTCAATTTGACGGATAACACACTACTTTCACCCCTCGGTTGCATTCATTGTAACGGTTTATTATATTGTATTACCTTTGCCGCTCTGACCGCATATTTTAAAAATTCTGCTGGATTATCCACATGCTCGATTACTTCGGACATGACGACAGTATCAAAATTTTGGTTGGGATTGCGCACCACGTAATTTTCAACAGTATCAACAAAATAATTGACTTTCCCCTTAAGATTTTCGGGAAGATGGGATCTCGCAATGTTAACCAATTCTGAGTTGGGCTCCAGTCCAACGATTTCTATTTCGGTATCGCTCCATCCTAAATTTTGAAAATGCTCGGCCAACCCCTCCGAAAGAAAGCCACCCCCACTGCCAATATCCAGAATTCTTCTTTTTCTTCCGTCTCGCAAACAATTTAATGTGCTGGCGATATACGGAACTCTGCAAATCATAAGTAATTGATTTACTAATGAGTAAAAATATAAAAAAACCTAAATCTGTAAATACAATTCAAGCAGAATATCAACTGCTGAATGTAAATATAAATGAAGTAGTTAAATCATTTATATTGCAAATAATGCAAGTTCAAATATCTTACTAAAAATTCCGAAATTTTCTTACAATGCGATGGTGTAAATTGTAACCCTCCAATTTGGTTGAAATTTTGAAATTGTGTGGTCCATGACAATACGATCAACCTTCCTTCAGCAAGTTTGTGCGATGGTCGGGATTTGTCAAAATATTTCAGGACAAAGCTGAAAAAGTGCGCTTTTTACTAAGCGGAGGACATAATCGCAACTTCAATTCTTTTCCCGTGCTAAATATCGCATATTTTTCAACTTTGCCCTCGAACATTTCGACAAATTCTGACCATCGCACAAACCGCCTCAAGAAACGTTGGTTGTACTGACATGGACCACATAATTTCAAAATTTCAACGAAATCAGAGGGTTACACGTCACACCATCGCATTATTAGTATTAGAAATTTGCAACCATCCTATATTCGAATTACGTTACATTAAACGTTTACCGTATGGAATTCATCGCATGCAATGATCTCAACGGGCCAGACGGACTCCACCATTCTGCCGAAAGTTTTCCAAATTTTTCAACTTCTTCAGGATTTAAGGTGCTTACGGTTGTTTCCAAAGTCTTATTGGGTTCCGTAAAGTTGGCTGCTACACAAATTTATAAAAAATAACTACTATATTTGGCTTGGATGAATTAAATTTTCTGTAATTTTAACTTACCAAATGAAAAAGAGATACTCACAATTATTTGGAGAATTTGCAATCCCATAGCAATCTTCATGGTTGAACTGAATAAATTTTGTTTGATGCCAAACAATATTCTACATAGTAAACTGAACAAGTGTAAAATAATCCTCGTTTCCAGAGGTCTAAAATCTGCTCATACTAATAAGCTCAGATTCGCCGAAATGAATGCCAAATTTCTTTACGATGATATATGTACACGCGTAAATATGCTAGAGACACCAATTCAATCTCGTCTCAAAAAAACGGTAGAAATTATATGCATGTGAAATTATATGAATATGTTTGGTGAGCATATCCTTACATATAAGTCAGTCCCTATAGTTTTGTGTCAACATAACTTGTCAGAAGCAGATTTAGCAGTAGCAGATACCGCAGATTAACATCTTTCTCATAATAGAATGCCAACAACCAGTTTGTTGATATCACTTGTCGAACCTTTATTGATTTAAGTGTTTAAACAAGTTGTAAATAGGAGACAAAAAATGAACGAGTAGTGGCTAGTGAAATAATTTACACCATCGCATCAAATCCAGATAATTATAAGGTTTAGTTTGTTTCATTGTTATCGTCCTTGAATAAGTTTTTGCTCCTGCAAAATAGTCAATTCATCAACATGAATTGATTAATGATTTTTACCTGTTTGTTTTGCTTTATAATGTGGCAAAATTAGCTAGATTAGCCATTAGAAGTAATGAGATTTCGAGCCATAATTCATGTATAATAATTTCTTAGAAAATTTAATGTAAACTTCATACAATGTTTTATGTAATATCTGAAGATACGTGTACATGCTGGGTCGCCTATTTATAAAAGATTAGTACGCATTTTTTTATCCATTCAATACTCATAATTAGTAGACATGCACCGAGTACTCGGCAGGTTTTGGCCGTCTTGTCACTACTCGGACTCGGCCGAGTATTTTTGCGTGCTCGGCCGAGTATTTTTGCGTGCTCGGCCGAGTATTTCTTAAATTTTTATACACCTCTAGTACACGTTTCCCGGTACTTACATACACCGCACAGTTACTTATTTACACTTATTTATACTTTAAATTTTAAAGTTTAAAAACATACCGATTAAATTTGTTAATTCTAATTCTCTCGCCCCAGGTTTCTAAAAATCTATTTAAGTGCACCTGCTAGTAGCGTATTTAGTGAGCGCTTATTTTCTGAAGCCGAGTTAGTTTACGAAGATAATTCATCAATACTTTCTCCGAAAATTGCTGACACATTATTTTTTTACACTACAACTTGCCACTTCTCGAATTCTTCTATTAACCAGGTCACGTCTGTATTTAAATATGTTGTGTACATACTTTGATATTGGGTTATTTGTTGGACAAATTGTTCAATATAAATGAAATTTTGAAAGCTTTATAATATAAACCTTTCCCGTTTTGAGAATAATAAAGTTCGCGTTTAAGCAGTTCTGAGGCCTGTGATTATATTATTTAATTGATGATCTTTTTGACAATTTACTCGGTGGCCGAGCCTTGCTCGGTACTCGGTGGCCGAGCTTTGCTCGGTGCTCGGCAAATGAGCATAAAGGAGTACTCGGCAAAAATATAACCGAGTACTCGGTGCTCGGCCGAGTCGACTTTTTCGGTACTCGGTGCATGTCTAATAATTAGACTCATGACTGAAGTCTCATATATGTATATACTGGAATAGAAAAATGTATTTTATGTAGGTCGACAAATTATCCAAAAACATTCGATTTAAATAAAATGCATTCTTAATGCGACAAGAAAAATTAATACTATCGACACTTGGGAAAGTCCAACATACATAAGTTCATACAATATTACCATGAATATTTAAATATCTAACACGTATCTTTCCATTTTGATGAATAGTTCTAAGGAGGGGAGCTTCACCACCTGCCCTTCACAGATCTCGATGCCCTTTGGATATGTGGTAGGGTCCTATGAGTGTACTAAAACCCTGAAGTGGTTTCACTCCATGGCCACATTTGCGCCCACCACACCCACTCAAAGAGATGAAAACCTCAAAACTTACCATCTTCAAAAATCCACCAAAATACAATTGTGCTCGGATTTTGATAAAATTTGCATTTTTGTGATCCCAGATACTTGTGTGATAATATGCAATAGCAATCTCAACTTTTTTGAAATTTTCGAAATTTTCGAGCTTTCCACTGAATTCCTTTTTGAATTATTTCGAAAAAATTCAAAATTTCAAAAAAGTTGAGATCTCTACTGGATATGATCACACAAGTATCTGGGATCACAAAAATGTAAATTTTATCAAAATTCGAGCAAAATTGTATTTTTGGTGGATTTTTGAAGTTGGTAACTATTGTGGTTTTCATCCTTTTGAGTGGGTGTGGCGAGCGCAAATGTGGCCATGGAGTCAAACCACTTCAGGGTTTTAGTACACTCATAGGACCCTACCACATATCCAAAGGGCATCGAGATCTGTGAAGGGCACGTGGTGACGCTCTCCTCCTGAGTATTATTCAATCATGTTTGTATTCTTAACAGTAATTAAGAGATTTAATATAACCAAATTGCAGAAAATTATCAACCGTAGGTTAAGCATACAAAAATCAATAATTTTCGCAAAATCAAAATTTGCAACCTATTGATTTTTTGTCTAACCAAAATGTAAAATATTACAACCAAATAACTTGATATTTATTGAAGTATATAATTACGTGAATTGAAATGTCAAAGTATCCAAAATGTTTCGATTATACATACTTCAATCTATGTAAATAAATACGAAGTTCAAGCAACCTTTAAGTTTAACCTGTTTTGACAGTTACAAGTTAAATAAATGAGATCATCTTATCTCATATCTAATGTGAAAATGGGATGAGACGAGATGCAGACGTAAATTAATTATTAGGAAAATGAAACGTATTATCTGCGCAGGGGCGCTGGTAACTCTAGGTTGGATGATAATTTAAGACAACTCAGTTATTGTGTGCGTACAAAATATGTACACGATTAGAGTCAGAACTTGTTCTGACTTAAGTAAATTAAATTACTTAATTAAATATTCATAAATTTACGCTTAATGACACACGGAAGTACATATGTAAGTTGCGGCTAAAAATAACACGTTCTTGTTCCAGCTTGAAAATAAATACATTTAAAATGTTGACGTAATCAATTACCACCATTCGAAGAAGATTAACGACGTCTTATACCTTCTAACCTGCTGAAACGATGGTAACCAGTCAACTAAATTGTACTTCAAGGTTTCCCTAAAAGTTCCCTAAAGAGTCAATTAGAGACCACACGGCTTCTACGCACTGGCCGCGGAAGCGTGTGTGGGAACATTGGGACAATGTCCCCAAGATTACTCGATGTTCTCATAACCTTCCTATGTTCCAGCGTCTCATATTCTGCAATGTTAATGTCCCCAAATGTCTCCCCAGCTTCCTCAGTCAATGCTTCTACGTTGCAGGAAAACTATTCAAATTTTTCATTGTACCAATATTTAGTCTCGCCTTATAAAATTAAGCAGTACAAGTTTTTAGAGTAGCATGCATAAGTAAATATTTTTATATAAATATTTATGCAATCGTTTGTACGTTGCCCATTCTTGTTTGAGCAAAAGACCGATACACATTGCATCATAATAATTCTGAAAAGGCAACGCAATTAAAGAGGTAAATAACTACGTAAGTGAAGTGTAACCCTCCGATTTGGATGAAATTTTCAAATTCTGTGATACAACCAACGTTTCTTCACGAAATTTGTGGGATGGTGAAAATTTGCCAAAATATTTTAGGGTAAAGTTGATAAATACATATGCGATTTTTAGCAAGGGAGGAGAATTTTCAACAAGATTACTACATATGTACTGAAGTACTAAATGGGGAAGAAAGAGCGAAATATCCTTGAGGGCCTTGTTCGAAAAAATTCGAAAAAATGAGAGGTGTCCTTGTTTTACTGGTCGGTGTGTACATATTTGACCATTTGACGCGTTCATTAAAATTTCTTTCAAGATCACGGCTCTTTCATTTCAGTTTTAAAATTGGTGGTAAAATTATCTGATGCATCCCTATTTCAGGTGTTTAACTATAATTCAGTGTCCCTAATTTCCACACTTGCTAGTTTCTGGATCGGCGCACCACTGGTTCGCAAAAAATGCGCTCCGAACCACACCGCGAACTACACCCGGTTCGCTTCGCTGGGTTTTAGACTTTTGCCGGTCTGGTTCGCGGTGTGGTGCGCTTAAGTTTGGATTTTTGTTGGTGTGGTTCGTGGTGGGGTGCGCTAAGTTTCTGACTTGGCTGGTGTGGTTCGCGGTGTGGTGCGCTGACCCAAACTAGCAAGTCTGCTAATTTCTTGCTTTGATCGTAAAATCGATCGAACTAGAAAACAGATCGTGAACTTGAGCTTGACAAATCTACTTTGGTGGAACTGTCGTAAATATGTATGTAATAGCTGGTAAGTTTCAAGAGAGAAATTTTGAAAATATAAATTTTGAAAATAACAAAATTAAGAGGTAACAAATTTAACTTTAAAAAATTTGAAATTAAAAACAAGCTAACATAGAAAATACATTACATTAAAAAAAATTGATCACATCTAAATATAAATCGGCGGAAAAATATTTGCACCCGCGCCCCGAATATATTTTCGTGGCGGCGGCGGCGGCGCGTCAAAACCTCGGCGGCCGGCGAAATATAATTTTCTGCCTTGACTTCCGCACTGCGGGTTTTTAAGTTAATCATTTTACTTAAGGTAACTTTTTTTATTAAGCAAGTTACTTAAGTCACAGATTTTTGATTGCATGGATATTCAAGACTTTTATTTTCAATTTGAACCAAACTTCATAAATTATTTATAAACGGTAAAATCGTGGAACATACATACATATGTAACAGACAAATTTTCGGCTGCGGCAGCGCAAGTTTATGGTGATTTTTCGGCGGCGTCTGCGGCGCAACGCGGCATCACAATGTTGAAGGTATGGGAAATCATATTTTTCGGCGGCGTCGGCGGCGTCGACCTCTGATACATAACCATACGTCGGATATGAATGAAAAATGACTTTTTCTATTTATTGACCTACAGACCCCAAACTTTCTGAGAATGTTTACAGTCGCTAGTAGGTCACGTAGGTCAAAACATATTTTCTCATATTTGTCATATTTTAGGGTTTTGGGTCATATTCATATTTCGGGCTTTTGTAGTTCATTTTATCATTTTTGGAGAAATTCTAAGATTTACCTACCAAATCGCAAGAAAATTACAAAAATTTCAGTTTTCTCAGTATCATTCATTCTGAGAAAATAGCAGAAATTTACATTCACTTTCGCCTAAGCTGATTTAATTCGTTGGGAATGAATTAAGTCATCCCAGAACTTGTTTTATTGCTAAAAATTAAGTACCACAGGAAAAAATATAAAAAATTAAGCCAAAAATTAAAAAATAAAGTTATTTTTATGGTCATATTTTGGGGATTTTTATGGTAATTTTTCATTCATATTTTGGGGATTTTTATGGTAATTTTTCATTCATATTTTGGGGATTTTTATGGTAATTTTTCATTCATATTTTGAGGTTTTATCGGTCATTCATATCCGACGTCTGTACATAACTAGCAAGAAATAGGCCGGCTATTTAGCCGCAAACTGTTTGTGGGTTCTCTTAAGCAGTCGCAATGACAACCATCAGGTACGGAATTTCTTCCACCGCTTGAAGCAGGTCAGGAGCCTTTGTTCTCAAGAACTCTCGCACGAAACCGCAATCAGCTGGGATCAGGTGAATAACGAATCTTGTTTGGCCGGTCAATGGTCACAGAATATTTGCAACTCCAGCCGCATCCTTTGAGTGGAAGTAGGTAATAAATTGATATCTGAGCTTGCCGCTCTGTCGGAGAACATCGTCACGGTCGCGACCACACGGCAACGCTAGAAGGACGCTGTGTTCACGCGGCATCTGTAAATTGCATGTACATACTTTTACAATTGAGGTCTCCCAACGTATGCTCACAGGTTTGGAGCAAACTAGCGTGAATCGATCACAAATATAATTAGAATAAAATTTGCAAATTGAACTATCGGCCAATGCGCAGGTTTGGCCATTTGCGTCTTTGGCAAGTAAGTAATCCCACGATAGTAATAAGCTAAACAATTCGAGTATATATGTATGTATTCACCTGCATCATTCCTGCGACTTCCATCAAGTGCGCTTCCTCGAGGCGCATCCTCTTGGAAATTTTTAACGGGGGAATTGTCCCGTCAGGATTTGGAGCTAAGGCTTCCCGAACAAGGTCCTGGTCGCCGGATAAAAAGTGCATTTGACTTGCGGCAGTGTGGTTCTTGACGGCTGCGCAATAAGTAATTCGGCACTTTAAAAAATGAAAAGAATTGGATAAAATTGTAGTTTTTTCTCACCTAACAAACCCTGCCACATAATCGGGTATCGCTGTAAGTAATACAAGATGGAGAATTAATTGGTTACGAAAAGAGCCTGGCCTAGGTGCCGTCCATAAATTACGTTACGGGAAAGAGGAAGAGATGGGGTCAAATGCTTTGTATATGGTGCTAAGGTATGTTACGCATGTTAAAAGGGGGTCTAGAAATGTGGTTTTTGCGTTCCATAATTTATGGACGGTGCCCTACGTCGAATGCATGATAACCAGAGCTCGGCGGATATCATGGATAACTATTGGAGGTTCGTAGGTCGGAGGGAGAGAATTTTTTTATGGATATTTGAGATTGGATATTGGAGTGCGAGATTTTGACCCGGAGACCGGATATTTGGAGGTTGGAGATCGAGAATTTAGCAAATTGGACCTCCATGGATATTGGAGGTTTATAGGTTCGAGGGCGAGATATGGATATATATCCGGATATGGATACATATACGGATACAGGGTGGTCCAAGAAGCTGTATAAAAGTTTAACCCACCCCACTACAAAGGCGCGTTAAAATAATTCAAATCTGTGGCCAAAATCGCGAAAAGCAACTTAAAAAATAGCTCTGTGATTTGTTTTTATAAACCTAATTTGGAAAATGCCCCCACGGTAATCAGGTGAAGGAGAGGTACTAGTGAAAAGCTTTTCCAGTCGATTTTCGACGGGAAGCGTTATCAAAGAAGCTGAAATTATCTTGTCCTGGCAGGAATTGGCAATTAATTAAATTAATTCGTGGATTACTGGATTACGGATTACATTCAATGTAATCTGATTACTTAATCTGATTAGAGTAATCCTGGGATTCCCCATCCCTGATTAATTTATAGAATGATGCCTGGTAGATATGTTCAAGGTCAAGCTTTGAGTCTAACATCATTGTAACCACTGAGAAACTATCAGTCGCTGAATGCCCGAAAAAGCTGAAAATTTGGTTTGTCTGACTTAGCCAACCACCAAGATTATTCCCTCATCCCAATTCAGTACGGTCCAACCGATAGATTACAATAAATCAACTATCCAGAGAACCATTACAATTGATTAAGGAAGTATAATGACAAAAATGACCTACAGTAGGTCGAAGAATTGAGAGAAACCAAACTTTTTTTCGCTTACTGCGGGGAAATCTCACCAGTGCGCAAAAACGGACGACGATGATTTTGGTTCTGCAGTCATAAAAAATCAAGACATCCCTGGGTGGTTATAAGACATTGACCGTTTGGATTATTTCAGGTGTTTCATCGTGGAAGGACAATTTTTACATTTGACGATTTACGGATTTTCACGTACTTCAAATAATGTGTGAAAAAATAGCACCCTAGAAAAGTCCCTGGAAGTTTTTTTATCGGGTAAAAAGCGATATATTCTTAAAGCTAAGGACAAGGACCATCACGTGGAGCAAGTTTCAAATCTGTAAAGGTCCGCATGCAGGTTAGAAAAATCACGAAACATGTATACAGCTTCTTGGACCACCCTCTGTATTTGGAGGCTTTCACTCGATAACCGCCGAGCTCTGATCCGAACCGACCTGAAGGATCGTTAACAGCGCGTCTTCTTTCGGCGCAAGTTGACCGGTAGGATGCGCAAGTGGATTAATTCTGCCCTGCCGTTGGCTCTCCTCCCCGTCTACATAATTTTAGCCTCAAATTGTATTAACAATCCAATCAAAGTTAAGGTCAGCAGCAACAGAACCAAATAAACATTTAATGTTGGAGGGCAACTGAATCGTAAAGACTTTGTTAGCGATTTTCTAAAACTTCTTTATAAAAATTCAAATCGAATAAAACATTTGTCCAAACCTTCCATTCCCAAACGAACTTGTTTCATCTGTGGAACCTTAAAATTAGTTTTTGTTAATGTTTTACACTGTGGAACCTTAAAATTAGTTTTTGTTAATGTTTTACACTGTGGAACCTTAAAATTAGTTTTTGTTAATGTTTTACACTGTGGAACCATGGTTACGAGCTATTTTTTGTGTTAACAAAACTTGTGAAATCGATTGCACTCTTAGAAATAGGGTTACAATCATACACTCTTAGAAATCCAGTATTAAAATAATACCAGGTGGTATTCATTAATATATGCCTCTGCTAACGTGGTATTGATAAATAATACCGTGAAGTAATAACCCGGTATTAAAGTTTTAAAATATATGTAGGTATCAAAGTTTCACCGACCGGATAATTTTAATACCAAGCGGTAGCAATTTTAATACCGAGCGGTAGCAATTTTAATACCGAGCGGTATCAATTTTAATACCGAGCGGTATCAATTTTAATACCGAGAAATCAATACCTGCGTGACTATACAGTGATTTCTAACAGCCAAAAATTAAACATATGTGACTTTACCGCCGTAGTTATGTATAATGTGGTTACAATCGTCACCGATAAATTGTAAAGTTTCACCTCTCGGTATTAAATTGGCACTATAGCTAAGAAATTTATCACCAGTTGGTCACAAATTCATTACCACTGGGGTAGAGTCATATACGTTTACATTTTGGTAATAGTCGTAACCCCATTTCTAAGAGTGTAAATACACATTAAAAAAATTATGAGTGGCACGTTATCTAGGTCGGAATAAATTATTATAAACGGTTACACCACTTTGGTATAAAAATGGTTTAAAAAGAATACCTTGCAGTAATGATTTAAATACTAAATCGTATTAAATTTTAAAAAAGCGCAGTATTTATTCATTACCACGTGGTAGGGGAACCTCGTGTATTATTAAAAGTGTAAGCTACGTATTTTAGCTCTATTATTTTTTGTATTGTCAATCTTTTCAGTATAAAACAGTGGATACTTTTACACTATGAATTTTTCTAAACTTTCACCTCACTCATTTCTTCAAAACTCCACGGAAATGTTTTCACAATTACGAATTGGGCACACAAAAAACTTGGCAAATATGTATTTACACTTTCGCCATTAAATTGTCTTTCTCTAACAAGGGAACATACCGAGGTGTCCAACGAGTTAAGGGTCGACACCTATACCAAAATGACCACAATACATGACTTGTTGAACAAACTGAAGGAATTTCCGTGTAAAATTCACTTTTCGTCAAGTTGTGACGACATTTGTGACGAGCGCATGACCATCCGGTTGCCAGTGGGAGAGGTCGGCCGCTGAACGATCAGGTCGAAGAGAAGAGAACAGAGAAGCGTCGTCGTCATCAGAGATTTCAAATTCTTTCAAATTTTGAAAACATCTTGAAATTTTGAAAACATTTTGAGAAAATTTTGAAATTTTGAGAAAATGTTGAAATTTTGAGAAAATGTTAAAATTTTGAGAAAATTTTGAAATTTTGAGAAAATTTTGAAATTTTGAGAAAATTTTGAAATTTTGAAGAAATTTTTGAAATTTTGAAGAAATTTCAAATTTTTTTCAAAATTTGAAAGAATTTGAAATCTCTGATGACGACGACGCTTCTCTGTTTCGACCTGATCGTTCAGCGGTTGACCTCTCCCACTGGCAACCGGATGGTCATGCGCTCGTCACAAATGTCGTCACAACTTGACAAAAAGTGAATTTTACACGGAAATTCCTTCAGTTTGTTTAACAAGTCATGTGTTGCGGTCATTTTGGTATAGGTGTCGACCCTTAACTCGTTGGACACCTCGGTATGTTCCCTTGTAAGAATTTATGTATTTGTAAGTACCTGGTCAGAGTTGCCTGCGATCGATTCCATACTACATAAAATACTGTCACTTTTTTCCAACGGATTTTCTTTCCTTCCTCACGTCAAATAAATTATTATGTATTTAACTGGTTATTTTTAATTTATTTTTTAACCCATGTATTTTGACTTTTTTATGATTTCTTCGTTTTTTATCTGGCAGAATTATTATAGTTTTATTCATGGAGCAGCCGTTAAATGTGGGTGAGAAGGATCCGATTCCACACCTGTTGTGTACAAAAAGAATGTATATGTAGGTAAATGCAACCCGAAAGCGGCCCCGTATCCGGGGTGATTACAAGTGGAAGTATCGATCCCTTCCATCTTTCCCATCCATCTTTCCCGATAAGTTTCCCGATATGGTTTTATGTACAGGGTGGTTTAAATGTCAGGTTACAATGGGAAATTTTTCAATGGGAAAAATTCGCAAATTTCCATTGGTTACGGATTTGGGATTGAGATTTTTATTAATTTTTACCAAAACGTATGGAAAACTCTTGACAAAATTCTTAAAATATTGAATTTCAGTGGCAAAATTTCGGTAACTAATGGAGATTTGCGAAGTTTTCCCATTGAAAATTTTTCCATTGTAACCTGACATTTAGACCACCCTGTACATATTTATGTACATATTTGTAAATGTGTTCAAGTGATATAGTAACGCTCATCATCAGAGGGTGGATATGTATGCACGTTAATTGCACCAAATATTGTGTAATATGTGGTGAAAAAACTGGAAAATATGTATGCACATAAAAAATGTTTTTCCACTTAAGCTTTTGTATTCATGTATAAAATATGATTTTTAGGAAACCTTGATTTCTGAATGAAGAAAAATATTTTTAGATAAAAAGCTTCGAAATATCTACAAAAATATCTACATATATTTAGAAAAATACTTGAAATATACTCAGGGCCGTAGGAGCACTGGTTTTAGGTGGAGAGCACTCTCCAGGCCGGACGGCCGGTAAGAATTAAAAAAACTTTCTCAGTACAGTAATAAGCTATAATTTAATTTAAGATCAAATTTAAATATGAACTTGAGATTTTCGGGAATTTTAAATTTATGTATATCAGAAATTAAAAATATTTGTGGCTAGATAAAGGTACAGTTTTTACAAAAATATAGACTTAACCAATCATGAAAATTCCGAACCGATTTACTAATTTTCACGCACGTTGGAACGCTTAAAATAATGACTGAAAGATATGCGAAATAAGAAAAGTCCTTGGAAGTTTTTTTATCGGATAAAAAGCGATGCATTCTTAAAGTTAAAAACAAGGGCCGTCATATGGAACAAGTTTCGCCTTAGGAAAATATGCTTGTGGGGTAAAAAAATTATTAAAACCTTCCACGAATAAATGGGGCACCCTCTGTATTTGTGACGATAGCCGTAGATAAGAAATAAGCGACAGAAATCCGCTGTATCAATTTTAATAATTTTGCACATAAAAGGCCGGACCAGAATTTTACTCTCCAGGCCGGACCAAGGACAGATACGGCACTGAATATACTGGAAAATATGTATGTATATGTAAGAAAAATCCTCAAAACATGTAATATGTACGATAACCTGGACATATGCTAAATGTGGTAAACAATGTTTGAATTTTTGCTCTCGTGCTTATATTGGATTTCAGTATACGAAGTTTTAGTACGATCTGAATTTTATGTAATTTAGGTTTTAGTAATTTTTTTCTTAACGATATTTAACCCTTTAAACTGTAACGACGACAACTGTCGTTTTATAAGAAATGGTTTAATTCCGGAGTACGACAAAAGTCGTCCTGAAAAATCGTGGTCATGGCGCGGAAGGAAGACAATTGTCGTTTCTAGATCATTGATTTTCACCATTTTCTCTCCGCAACCTAAAATTTGTTGCAATTTTGAGGGATTTCTCCTATGCCAACACAATGCTAAATTTGAAGATTTTCTTCCCAAAAATTTGGATATTTCCCAATACAACTCAAGGATAAATTTTAGATTTTTCAGTTTTTCGAGTTTTATTAAAAACTCCTGAATTTCTCCTCCCGCGCCATGACCACAACATACTTATAGTGTCCCCGATTTAATGCATTTTCTTGTCGTTAATCATACACGTTAAAGGGTTAATAACATGTGAATAAGATATATATCTTCGGTGATACGATTGATGCAAAACGCAGTGAGTGAAATTACATAGGTTTCGCAAAATTCGTTGGAAAACTTGTTAGGTTTTTTAAGAAATAGGTTGTGACGTAATAAATAATCATGCATAATGTTTTAGTGTCTTGAAACATGGGGTGAATGATAGCAACGATTTCAATAATTTTTACCTGTCAAATTTTCCATCTACATTGCTCAGATATCGTTTATTTCGCCATTATTTCTAATTTCTATTATCAGTATTTAATTTCAATTTTATAATTTTTACGAATTCTCACAACAAGAATTTCACGGTTTGACTTAAATTTTAGTCTCAACTATTTTGACTTTCATGATAGTTACATACATACATATATAATTATTTAAAAGTTAGGGTTTCTTACATATCTGTAAATGGCAGGTAATTTACATTATTTTATATGAACAAGTTAGAAATACATACATGTCCAACGTCTGCTGACTATACTTAAAGCATGGCAGGGGTCGTGCAGGAGGGGCCGTCCATATATCACGTCATTCAACATTTACAAATTTGGCACCCACCCGCCCAACGTATAAGTACATGAAGTATGGAATAGATATGGATTTTTAAGGATGGAAATATATGTAGAAAGATCTAAACAACCCACCAACTAAAACCATGACTTAATATACGGACTACCCTCATATGGTTTAGTAGCGTATAAGCCCATCTCCCGTCGGGCGAGGGACAATTATAAGAGGCAAATGTCTGTAAGAAACGGAAATAAGTTTCTCCACTTTCACTTCCGTCGCAGAAAATTATTTTCACTTCCGTTGCAGACAGACATTTCCAGCTTATAATATAGATTTTATGCTTAGTCCTCCACATCAGAAATTTAGTTTAAAACTAATTATTTAAGTGAGAAAATTTCCTTGCATTTTCCGCTTTATATTAATTAATTCAATTCTTCAGATCGTCGATTTCTCCAATTCCAGTCGTGGATATGGGATCAAGCTACTTTCACTTGGTGAATAAATACGAAAATTCAGTTCTTGACATGTATCTTTATTTATTTTCTTGAATTTCGACTAATTAGCAAAGTATTTTTCATTTAGTTCACCCAAAGCAAAACGGTGTAAATATATGACTTAACCGCCTTCGTTACAATTGTGATTCCGAGTAGTAATGAATTTTTTCCGTCCGGTCATAACATTATAACTATCGGTATCAAAATCATCATAACTCGGATTCAACATTGTACCCAAGGCGGTTAAGTCATATACTGACACCGGCGGTGTTGATTCGACAAATTTTTATTTTAAGTGTTCAG